CAAGAATATAAAATGAAATATAGGAAATACCATTTGAAAAATACTAGAAGCATGCAAAATTTCACATTTCTGACATTCAAATTTTACCAAAACTGTACAACTTTTGTAGTTACACCTTTCTTCTACCTGTAAAGGTAAAGGCTGTAGGTGGGGTGTCAATATTTAAAAAAACACCCTGTACAAACCTGGAAAACTTGAAACTTATAGGTAGTTTAATGTTCAAGAAATGTGCATATTTTACATGCATTTACATCTACCTGTCAACTGAGCATAGGTATTGAATTTGATAGAAAACCAAAAACCCATGAGGTGTACGGGATCCTTTACAACCTAAAGAAATAATAGCAGAATTTTTAGGTACTTCTTTTTGTATGGCAGTACTAAAGAATGCAGTACAAATTACAATTTATTGAGTCGAATTGCAGAAAGGGTCAATTTTTGTTCTTGTATAATTAATTGATATTTTGTTTACTACGCTACAAGAGCCGAGAATAAATAACATATTGATCACTCTGTAGTTTTATAAGAATACTGAAATCACTATAGTAAATATACTGAGCCAAAATACAGAGTAGTCAATTTTTATTCTATCATCGGCTCTTGTACCAGATAATTCATCATTTTCAATGCTAGAATGGATAACATTAGAATAAAGCTTTTGACATTTTCCCTATATTTAATCCACAAGACCGGAAATATTAGGTAGAAGATTATAATCACAAGGTTCCTGAACCTGAAGATGAACCCAAAAATTAGGCACTATGGGGACCAAGTGATAGATGAGAAAAAAAAATGACCGACACGAGTTTTCGGCATCCTTTGATAAATGCAACCTCAAGACAGATCAGGATATTCAACATTTTTGAGAATTATGTAAATCCCTTAGCAAAATGTCTCAATTCTAGTGATAAATCCAATAAATAATTTATACAAAATAAGTGCATTTATTAATATATTACAACTATTACAAGTTACATAAGCCTGTTGCGACTTAGTAGGTACTTTACCACAAAATAAATAACAAAATATGTAGTGCAAAAGTGCAAAATAAATAAATCACTATTCTATATATAATTAAAAAAACCTATCAGTTTTAGTCAAACTAACCGAAGACTTTTTAAAAGAATGCCCATTGTACCTGTCCAACTGAGGCAACCCCAAATATTTAGCAACATGCTTCGGTATCTTCCCAAAAGTATTCACCCCAACAACTTGACCAGTACATTTGCCCCCCCTGTAAGTAACAAAGAACCGTTTGTGTCGCACGTTTTTTGGCCGCAAACTCAAATACCGGCGATAGATGTCCAGACAATCCAGCTCGTCCGCTTGTTCCGGGATCACGGTGAAGGTCCTGTGAAGATTGCTGGACTTGGAGTCGGGGATTTTCACTACCAAGGCGGCACCCAAGTCTTCGATTTCGTCGATTGCTAGTTGGGCGAGTTCGTCGCGACGTAAACCTCCTGAGATTCCCAAAATTAGAGCCACCTTGAAATAATTGGAGAAGGCATATATTAAATTAATGTAAAAATTTCAATTTTGTTTTAATGATCATGAAGAGCAAATTCACTCAAGCATGATTCCTAAAACCCCCATGAAGTAGGCACCGGAAAAACATTAAATGTAAGGCTAAATTAATTAAAATTGTGTGACAGATTCATATGAAAAACATTATTCATGACCAACACGAGTTTTCGGCATCGTTTGCAATGATGATTTATAGATTCCAGTAAACAAGGAAATCTTCAGTTCAACTAAATAATACTTCAGAAATAGCTGGAGAGGATCAGAAAGTAGATATTTGAGAAACTAATAATTGGATAGCAAGATCAGTCCAAAATTGAGAATCAATGAGTAAACAGTCAAGCTGTTCAAAATCGAGTCTCTAGGTCCTTATTCTTGAAACAAATAGACCCAGGAAAACGAGTGTTCTGTCTTTGTTACTTACCTATATTATCATTTGCATATCATCGAGAAAGATAGAACACACTTTTTCCTGTGAACAGGGGACGCTATTTCCCTGTTTCAAAAATTAGGAACCAGTAGGGACGTCACAAGGGTATCAGCGCTTGACAAAATGTATAATCTCTAGTCTGTGTTTGCGCCTAAGAATTTTCAAAAAATCGAGGTTTCATAAGGGTGAATTCTGATTTCAAAATATTCAAACCCTAATTGCTCAGTAACCGTTGAGCAAATTGCTTTAATTTTTTCAGCATTTGTAGCTCTTATTAAGCTCTAAATGTCCTGTGATTCATAATATTCCCAGATTTATAGTTTTTGAGCAAATTGATATTGAAGTTTTTAACAAAATTTGGACCAAAAGTTAAATTTGAGAGTCAATTGCTCACAAACCATTTGAGCAATCAAATTCAAATTTGCATAGATTTATAGAGAATTTATTGCTCTTTCCAATGGTATATAATTTATTTCAATTTGCTCGAAATTAAACAAATATATGGGCAATTGTTGTTGACCATGTCAAGATTTTGAAAATTTTTAGAGCCCAAAATAGGATTTTCTTTCTATTTTTGTTTCTGCTAAAAATGACCATTTGGAATTGATATCAGGGTTGTTTTCCACTAACTTTGACTCGCTCTATTAATTGATAAAGCCAAAATTGAGCAAAACTGAGAAATGAAAAAATCGAGTTTTTCATAAGGGTAACCCCTTTGAATTATGATTTCAAAATATTCAAACCTCAATTGCTCAGTAACCGTTGAGCAAATTGCATTGAATTTTCCAGCATTTGTAGCTCTTACTAAACTCCAAATGTCCTGTAATTTACAATATTCCTAGATTTATAGTTTTTGAGCAAATTGAGTCTGAAGTTTTTGACAAAATTTGGACTAAAAGTCAACTTTGAGGGTCAATTGCTCACAAACCATTTGAGCAATTAAACTCAATTTTGCACAGATTTCTAGAGAATTTAATACTTGTTCCAATGGTATATAATTTATTCCAATTTGCTGAAAATTTAATAAAGATATGGGCAATTGCTCATGACCATGTCAAGATTTTGAAAATTTCATAAGGGTACCTACCTAATTCCTCTGAATTCTGATTTCAAAATATTCACACCTCAATTGCTCGGTAACCGTTGAGCAAATTGCATTCAGCATTTGTAGCTCTCATTAAGCTCTAAATTTCCTGTAATTTACAATATTTCTAGATTTATAGTTTTTGAGCAAATTGAGTTTGAAGTTTGTGACAAAATTTGGACTAAAAATCAACTTTGAGGGTCAATTGCTCACAAACCATTTGAGCAATCAAACTCAATTTTGCACAGATTTATAGAGAATTTAATGCTCTTTCCAATGGTATATAATTTATTTCAATTTGCTTGAAATTCAACAAAGATATGGGCAATTGTTCATGACCATGTCAAGATTTTGAAAATTTTCCAGAGCTAAAAATAGGTTTTTATTTTTATTTTTACTTCTGCTTAAAATGGCCATTTGTAAATGATGTCAGGGTTGTTTTCCACTAATTTTGACCCGCTCTATCGATTTATAAAGTCAAAATTGAGCAAAACTGAAAAATAAAAAAATCAAGTTTTTCATAAGGGTATCCCCTTTGAATTCTGATTTCAAAATCTTCAAACCTCCATTGCTCGGTAACCGTTGGGCAAATTGCATTGAAATTTTCAGAATTTGTAGCGTCTATTAAGCTCTAAATAATGTGTAATTTACAATATTTCCAGATTTATACTTTTTGAGCAAATTGAGTTTGAAGTTTGTGACAACATTTGGACTAAAAGTCAACTTTGAAGGTCAATTGCTCACAAACAATTTGAGCCATCAAACTCAAATTTGCACAGATTTATAGAGAATTTGATGCTCTTTCCAATGGTATATAATTTTGAAATTTAATAATGATATGGGCAATTATTCATGACCATGTCACGTTTTGGGAAATTTCGGTGCACAAGAGAGGATTATAAGCAAGGAGGATTGTCTATTATTGTCAAATACCGAAACCCTTGTGACGTCACTACAGACACGCGACTCCCTTTAGTGTTGTCCTAGTGACAGTAATAAAAATTGTAAGAACAAGTGAAAAATTTAAACTTCAGTAACTTACCTTCATCATCAAATAAGTTTTATCAGGCGCCTCCTTCAAAAACTGCTGCAACTGCTCTTTAGTGAAAACCTTCGACTTATTAGCCACATATCCTTGATTTTTACACTTCAAAAGGCCCAGCAACCTCTTGAAACCCCCCATATCGATGTTGTCTTGCACCATCATCGTAGCCTTAATCATGGAAAACAGCGACCATAACGTGGACGACTTAAAAACCTGAGATTTCTCAGTAAAATAACTCATTAGGGCATCTTCGGTGATTGCAGGAAATTCACTTTCTTTGAGCCAACTCATGAAACCGCAATAGGCCTTTTCGTATTTGACTTTGGACTTTTGCGGTAGCTGGTCCAGGGTTAGGATTCCTGGATATGCACTGGGATCGGGCCAATCCAAGTTGCCTAGTTGGATGTTGAGGGTTGAATATACTGATGGGTCAATGTAATCTGGATGAAAAATTATTTAATAATAATTGGATTGATGAGTTTAGCTCTTACTTACAATCATCTTCTTCTTGTTCTTCTTTGATGTTGTTATTTCTTTTGAGTTTACGTACTTTTTTTGCTTCATATTGTAGTAGGGGCCTAAAAATATTAATAATTGAAAAAGGAATTATTGTTTTTATTAATCAATTACCTTCACCACCTATAAATTTCTTAAATAGAAAAAGCTTAAGAGGTGGCAAAAGAACAAAGAAAAGACAAAAGGAAATTATAATTAATTCATTTAATTTTTTGTAATTTCATATATATTTTTTTTAATCCTGAGAGTTCTTGTACGGTGGAGTTTTTCCAGAGGGAATTTCCTCATTCCTTAGACTCTTTATATCTGAAAATTCATTTATTACAATCAGGTTTCTAAATCCATAAATCAGGCACCAGCAAAATATAATTTGACAATACCAGTACAAGTGCCATATGAACCTTCAAAAACTTGTCATTTTGATTTACAAAAATGTCTCTACTACTACTTAAAAAAGCCACTGCAAACTTACTGAAGCTCAAACATGGAAAAAACTACTTCCAGGTAATCAATTTTAGCCTTAAAATAATCAAAACTTCAATTAAAAATCCAATTAGATTGTGAAAATTTCGGATCATGAACGCAACATGATTGGACGAAGAGAAGTGGTCGGTTACGGTCACAATGGTCAGCCCACCTACGTGGACAGGAGCGATTTTCCATTTCCTGCAATCAGATGGAAAGAACCAACTGCTGAAATCGAAGCCTTGCGAGAAAAGGAGAAAGGTGATTGGAACGAGCTGTCGTGTGAAGAAAAGAAAAACTTATACAGGCAATAAATAATCAATTAGTTATTTATATATCAACTAACTATTTTAGGGCTTCATTTTGTCAAACCTTTTCCGAATTCAACGCATCAAATAGTGGCGAATGGAAATCCATGGTAGCTATTTTGATCTTCCACATTGTAGCCGGCCTATGGCTTTCCTACTGGTTCAAAATAACGATCTACAAGCACGATCCTTTGCCCGGGTCTTTCGACGAAGAAAGTCGAAGGCAACAGTTCCGACGTTTGCTCGACCTCAAAACGAACCCTATCCAAGGTTTGGCTTCCAAGTGGGACTACGAAAGGGATGACTGGAAAAATCCGAACGATCCGTGGAAGTCCAAAAATATATTTGAGAGTCACAGAGATTAGGTTTTTGTTTGAATTATTGTTGAGTTTTTTTGAATAAAAAATGTAAAAGTACAATATTTTTAGCCTTATTTTCAATTTGACGAAGAAAATTGTGATCAGGAAGCATCACGAGGTTCCTGAACCTGAAGATGAACTCAATGAATTAGGCACCAAGTTATTACCCAGACAGCACAGAGACATCTTACAATTTTACGTAAAGACGATGTATGTTACAAAACCCAACATCTTTCAAACATCTTTGAATCTCTTTCCAATACATATACCATTATTCACTTTTAGGAATATCAAAATAGTTGTCTTCAAGATGTGAATTTAAGACATCTTCAAAATAACGTCTTCTAGACGTCTTTTGTTGGTCTTCAGACGTAATATGCATGCAGACCCTTTAAAACATTGTCTGGGTAAAAGCAGCCTTATTTTCAAACTTAATGGTTGAAGATTAGAATAGTCACCAAGCTTTATTTATTCCCGACTCTTGAATTGTCTTCATTTGAAAGTATTTAAGAGCCAGTGTTGCCAGGTCATATTTTGTTTTGTCAATAGATTACCATGCAGTCTAAATATCAGTAGAAATCAGTAGACTGATGAGTTGCCTGTTAAAGGGGTGAACTATTAGATGTAGGCAATCTTTCCGCTCCTAACTATATGCGAAAGCTTTTACTTTATATTGGAAAATACCTAGGCAAATCCATCAAAACTGTGAGATAGTAGCAGGGGCGCCCGCAGAAAAATATGTAGGGGGAGGTCAAAATCAATTGGATAAATTTTTTATGCGTAAAAAAGGGCACTTCAGTCTAAATTATCATTTTAGAAGCAGAATCAGAATTTTAAATGCAACATTTGCAAAGCAAAATTAAAAAAAAAAGGCAGTTTGAAGAGACACAAACTAACACACTTGGACGAGAAGAATTTTAAATGCAACATATGCAATGCAAAATTTAAATTAGGAAAATTTAAACAAAAAGGTAATTTGAAAAGTCACATATCAACAGACTTCGATAGTTATCTTTTTAAATGTGACATTTGCAAAGCAAAATTCGAAGAAAAAGACTGTTTAAAAAGACACAAACTAACACAGTCTGATATTTATCCTTTTAAATGTGACACATGCAATGCAAAATTTGAACAAAAACGTAGTTTGAGAAGCCACATATTAACACACTCGGATGAGGAGAATTTCAAATGTAACATTTGCAATGCAAAATTGAAAAGAGAAGGCGATTTGAAGGAACACTTATTGATACACTTGGATATATTTTTTTTTTGAATGGGACATTTGCAAATCAAAATTTAAACGCAAACGCGATTTGAAGATACACAAACTAACACATTTGAATGTGACACTTGCAAGGCAAAATTTGAAGAAAAGTAATTTATAAAGGCACATTTCGACACACTCGAATATTTAACCTTTTGAATGTGACACTTGCAAATCAAAATTTAAATGGAAAGCCGATTTAAAGATTCACAAACTAGCACATTCGGATATTTATCCATTTGAATGTGACACTTGCAATGCAAAATTTAAGCAAAAACAAAATTTGAAAAGCCACATGTTAACACACAGATTGTTTATTATTCGATTCACTTAATAGTGACATGTGTTTAGCTCCGGGATCCTTGAACTCAGCCACAAAATTCGCCCGGAACCGTTGGCCAGTAAGTGGTGACTGCTTATTCCGGCAGCCGCTCGGTCGGCAGAGCCTCGTTGGTTATCTAGCAGGATGCACCGAATAACTTTACCACTCGCCTTTACTGTGCCCTGTTTTCTTGCTTCCTATTCCTATTCCCGGCTCTTGAATTCTTCGGAATATTTCCAAACAGAAAATTCAAAAGCTTGAAATAATAGCATAGTCATTATGTCTACTTTATTAGAAGTGTTCTAGTCCCAGAAAGGAAAAGGTCATGATAGTTAAGGTCATTACAGCCTTTCTAGGCTTTTCCTCATTAACCTGCCTTGCGACCTGGTGCCTAGATTTCCTAGGGATTGACCTCATCCCTGGTAGACGCAGTTTGATCAATCTCATCCTTATCTGGAAGTTCATTTAAGCCAGTGGTTCCCAAACTGGGGGGCGCGTCTCTCTGAGAGGCCCGAAGCAACATTGAGGGGGGCGTAAGTGTTTTAAAAAATTAGTACCGCTGTCATGCCTATTCCTCCTCTCCCAAAGTTCAGTTCAGACAAGTTACAGTAAGTGACAGAAATGTTTCTGTATACTGGAGGAAAAAAATTGGTTCTATATTCTTGAAGAGTATATACAATTCCCCGATTCCATCCAGTTTATATTTGGTTGAGCCAGCTCCAACATATTTGGTTCTTTTGAATTTCAAAAATACTATCAGAGAAACCAAGTACCTACCTCAAATTTTACCTGCAGCTTTCACCTGTACAGGTAGAATGGTTCACAAAATCAGTAGTAAGATAGTATTTTTACAATTTTTGGAGTCGAATATATGAGAGACTGTTCAATCAAATATAGACAAACTGTATATTTTTGGAATCGAGATATTGTGCTCTTCAAGAATATAGAATGAAATATAGGGCATCCCATTTGAAAAAAGCTGGAAGCATACAAAATTTCACATTTGTGACATTCAAATTTTGTTTCTGATCATGGTTTCTAAAAATTCAGCCAAAACTGTATACCTAACTTTTGTATTTACAACTTTTTTCTACCTGTAAAGGTAAAGGAGGTAGATGGAATGTCAACATATAAACACCCTGTACAAATAAGTGGATTATTGCGGAACTTATGGGTGAACCTCTGCGGGACGAGCGCAGCGAGTTCCGCAGCCATCTATTCATTAATATGTTGTTTAATTACGATATTAACCTGACTTACTCAAATGTGAGTTATTCTGATTAGTTTAAAAACTGCATGTTTCAGGTGAATGTCTTACTTCAACAGTTCAACAGTATATTGGTGAGTAGATGGCTACGGAACTTGCTGCTCTCATCCTGCAGAGGTCCACCCATAAGTTCCGCAATAATCCACTTATTTGTGCTTTAACAATAACTTATTATGTAAAGTCAAAATTTTTAAGATAATGATTATTCACTTTTTGTCAATTCGCCTTTCAACAGGAATTAGTAATGTTACTTGTACCAAACTAGTAACATAATGTGACAAGTTATTCAAGTACAAATGAGTGAATTGTTGCGGAACTTATGGGTGCATCTCTGCGGGACGAGCGCAGCGAGTTCCGCAGCCATCTATTTATCAATATGTTGTTTAATTACGATACTAACCTGGACTCACTCAAATGTGAGTTATTCTCATTAGTTTAAAAACTACATCTTTCAAGTGAATGTCTTACTTGAGTTCAACAGTATATTAAGGAGTAGATGGCTGCGGAACTCGCTACGCTCGTCCCGCAGAGGTCCACCCATAAGTTCCGCAACAATCCACTTATTTGTACCATTGTTGCCATCTACTCACCAATATACTGTTGAATTGTTCAAATAAGACATTCGCCTGTGGCGATTCCAAAAATTTCAAGGTGCTAAAATCCCAGAAAATATAACTAAACTCAATTGGTGAAAGCATTTATTTCCTACTGAACTATTATTACCATATAATACCTTGGGCTACGATAATCATAAACAAGGTCTTAACTCCCAAGGAAGTTAAGGATTCCATAACTCCTGCGCGGGAGTTAAGGATATCATAACTCCCAAGGGAGTTAAGGATTTCTATAACTCTCGCTTTTACCTTGAATAGGTAAAATTTTCAGAAAAAATAGAAATTTTGGTTTATGGTTTATTCCTTTATAAAAATGGACAAAATACAGTGAATTTAGTAAGAAATAAAATTATCTATGTACCACAGGAATTATCAGGTGTTAATATCCACAGGCAATTGGTGTCCCTCGGGCCAAAGGCCCTCAGGACACAAACTTTGCTTTGGGGTATTAACAACACCCTCATATTTTGTAGTCATTTTAATTAGAAAAGTACCTACGTCAGTTGCAAGATAATTTAATCTCAACTTATTGAATCTCCTAGCAATCCAGCATCTAATTCCGTATAAAAATAGTAAAAATGAAAAATGACGAAATTTCTAAGCTCAACTCAAATTACATAACAATTCTTTTACCAACGCAAGCAATAAGCGACCGGATGTCAGAGTTCGATGTCCCCATCAATCAATAGACTCTTGCGACATTCCGATTAAAAAAATTTCAATGAAAAATTATAAAATTAAGACGCCTTTAACCGGAAATCACTATATTCATGTGATTTAATTGCGTCATAACTGATAAACTACAACCCCGCAGGGCCGTAGCTAGAGTCAAATTTGTGATAGGGCATAACAAATTTTTTATTGGTTAACAAAAGAGAGGTAATGGCCCCAAAGGCAAATATTTCAATAAATCAATGTTGTTTGAGAGAGGTAATAGATAAAAGCCTTATAACTGTATGACGTCATATGGGGTGCCTCAATATAATGGAAATCTCCAAGGTACCCTAGATGCGTCATTAAGTTACCGATTACCAGGCATCCTATTATCAACTTTAGGAACTTTGTCAATAAATAGAGTAGAAATCAAACGAGAAGAAGCCACACGCGTTATCGTTTGTCTCACTTTAAATGGGAGGAACCCAGAGAAAAGGAAATCTGCTTTCTTTGTCAGCGCTAACGACAGTGGCTTCTTCTCGTTTGATTTTTACTCCAACATCTCTGGCAAGTGGACAAAATGGCGCTGATTCTTGCACCGCCTTGGGCCAATGGCACTTTTCCGAAAGAAAAAACTTTCTCTGTGCAAATGTTAAACGTCAAACATTGTTGCATACATTTGGAGGTTTTCGGAAACACTTATCGTCGCACTTACTTGATTTCAATCTATTTCCATTCATTTCATTGTCTACTCTTTCCAAATTTCCAACAAAGACAAACCTTAACGCATGTTGTGTTTTAAAGGTAGGGTATCATCATTTGAAAGATAGGGCATTGCTCCCCCCTGGCTACGGCCCTGCAACTCCGGTGTTTCCGCCGGATGTTGCATCATATCCTAAGTAAAAACTTTAAAAAAACAATTCTTGGAAAATAACAATGTCGATTATCACTCGATAAACGAGGTCAAATAAGAGGATTGGTTCGAGAAATGCTAAATGACCGTTCACGTAACAGATTTTTGGTGGGAATTGAGTACTATTCAAGCAGGTTACTATTAGAAAAAAAGGGAGATAACATCCAGCAGTTAATTTATTCTAATTCAGATATACTTGGAGGGCTCACTTTGGAGCTCAAGAACAACACTAAATTAATAAGTCAGGTTAGTATCATAATTAAACAACATACATATTGATAAATAGATGGCTGCGGAACTCGCTGCGCTTGTCCCGCAGAGGTCCACCCATAAGTTTCGCAAGAATTCACTCATTTGTACTTGAATAACTTGTCACATTATGTTACTAGTTTGGTAGAAGTAACATTACTAATTCCTGTTGAAAGGCGAATTGACATAAAGTGAATATCATAATCTTAAAAATGTTGACTTTATATAATAAGTTATTGTTCAAGTACAAATAAGTAGATTATTGCGGAATTTATGGGTGGACCCCTGCGGGACGAGCGCAGCGAGTTCCGCAGCCATCTACTCACCAATATACTGTTGAACTGTTCAAGTAAGACATTCACCTGAAACATGTAATTTTACTACTCACATTTGAGTGAGTTAAGTTAATATTGTAATTAAATAACATATTGATAAATAGATGGCAGAGGTCCACCCATAAGTTTCGCAACAATTCACTCATTTGTACTTGAATAACTTGTCACATTATGTTACTAGTTTGGTAGAGTAACATTACAATTCCTGTTGAAAGGCGAATTGACAAAAAGTGGATAATCTTACAAATTCTGACTTTATATAATAAGTTACCTATTGTTCAAGTACAGAGTGTTTCTTTATATATTAACACCCCACCTACAGCCTTCACCTTAACAAGTAGATGAAAGGTATAAATACAAAAGTTGTACAGTATTGGCTAAATTTTTAGAATTCATGGTCAGTAACAAAAATTGAATGTCAGAAATGTTGCATATTTTCAGCTTTTTTCAAATGGAACTACCTATGCAGTAGTTTAGTCTTATAAAAACAGGTAAAACAGGCTGCAGTTAGTTGTATAGCATAACGCTATGTGACCAATTGACTAACCAACAACAACGCATGCCTTTACGCAACTGTCATGACAAAAGGCAAATAAACAAGACAACAAGACACAACACAAACGCCGGGGATTCCCCAGTTAGGTTGCTTTTATCAGTAGAATTTACATTGATATCAGTAGACCAGTGGCCAAATCAGTAGACCTGGTAACACTGTCAAAAGCCGGGAATAGACAAAATTTGAAAAATTAAATAATATCCATACTTCATTTTAAAAATTAACTTTAATTAAAAACAACAAAATCACATAACACAACTCCTAATCCACCTTATGATTACATTTCATATGACTCTTACAAACACTAGTACTAACAAACCCTTTGCCGCAAATACTACACTTAAAAGGCTTCTCGCCGGTGTGTATTCTTAGGTGCACCTTAAGGCTGTGACTTTGTGTAAAGGCCTTTACACAAATGTGGCACTTGTAAGGCTTTTCTCCAGTGTGTCTGCGATTATGCAGCCTTAAGGTTGTTGAATTTGCGAAGCCGATGCCGCACGACTGGCACTTGTGCGGCTTGAGGCCTTTGTGTATATTCATGTGATCGGTGAGGCCACTTTTCGAATACAGCCTTTTGCCGCATAAGTCACACACAAATCGATTATCCATCACGTGTTTTTTTTTCATGTGGATTTTCAAGTATTTTTCGTCTAGGAACTCTTGGTGGCACTCTTCGCACTTGACTTTGGATCTGTTGACGTAATCGTTGCTGTGCTTTTCTATGTGGTTTTTTAGGGCGGTTTTATCGTAGCAAGGCCTTTTGCAAATGTGGCAAACGAATTTCGATTTGCCGCTGTGGCGCGAGTTTATGTGCAACTTGAGGCTGCCTCTGCAAAAGAAGCCTTTGTTGCAAAACTCGCATTTGACGTCGTAGAGTTTTAGGTGTCTTTTCGTGTGCGATATAAGGCCTTGTTTGGAAATGAGGACTTTTTGGCACGTGTCACACTGGAATGTTTCTTTGTGACACTTTTTAATGTGACTAGAAAGTGCTTGTTTGATTTTGAATGACTGATTGCACTTGTGGCATTGAAACGACTTTACTTTTTTGTGTTTTTTTCGGCAATGTGATCTAAAATGCAACACAAAAGTTAATAAATGAATAAATTAAAACATTCAAAGAGAAGATTTGATGATCAGAAATCACGAGATTGTTGAACCCATTAATTAGTCCACAGTCTAGAGTCGAAGAGTAGGTAAATGGTTACTAGTCTAGTGAGGATTGGGTTGGTTTTTCAACGTCTCAAGTCTTGTACATGGAATTTTGAGAAAGTAGAGAAGTATTTTCAGTTGACAGTCGTGTATTAAGAAGTTTAAAAGCGGTTTATCCAAATTATGTACGTGCTATGAGTCATCAAAGGAAAATATCTATAATAATATATTAGTGAAAGTGAGAAAAAATTGTAGGTACATAAGGGAAATTGTGATTCTAGTATTTAACCATTTATTGCAATGACTATATTCTTTGATTTTTAGAATTTAATGTATGAGTCGTGGACCGTGGTAAAGACGAAGGAAGGACTACATAAAAGGGAGACAAGCATCTGTAGGGTATTCACAATGTCATTGGCTATTTTTCTTCATCCCTCTATGTTATTTTTTTTCTCTCTCTCGTGTAAAAAAACTTGCCAAAACGTGACGCGTTTTCCAGATCACTCTCTATTCTCGTACAAATATCAGACAGTTTCACCTTTGAATTTTAATTTCAAAATATTCAAACCTCAATTGCTCGGTAACCGTTGAGCAAATTGCATTGAAATTTTTAGAATTTAGAGCTTCTATTAAGCTCTACATAGTCTGCTATTTCCAATATTCTCAGACTTATAGTTTTTGAACTAATTCAGTTTGAAGTTTTTGACAAGATTTGGACTAAAAGTCAACTTTGAAGGTTAATTGCTCAGAAACTATTTCAGCGATCAAACTCAATTTTGCACAGATTTATAGAGAATTTAATGCTCTTTCCAATGGTATATAACTTATTTCAATTTGCTTGAAATTTAACAAAGATATGGGCCATTGCTCATGACCATGTCAAGATTTCAAAAATCTCCAGAGCCAAAAATAGGATTTTCTTTTTATTTTTGTTTCTGCTTAAAAATAGCCACTTGGAAATGACGTCAGGGTTGTTTTCCACTAATTTTGACCCGCTCTATCGATTAATAAAGTCAAAATTGAGCAAAACTAAAAAATAAAAAATCGAATTTTTCATAAGGGTAACCCCTTTGAATTGTAAGTTCAAAATCTTCAAACCTCGATTGCTCGGTAACCATTGGGCAAATTGCATTGAAATTTTCAGAATTTGTAGCTTATATTAAGCTCTAAATAGTGTGTAATGTACAATATTTCCAGATTTATAGTTTTTGAGCAAATTGAGTTTGAAGTTTTTGACAAAATTTAGACTAAAAGTCAACTTTGAGGGTCCATTGCTCACAAACCATTCGAGCAATCAAACTCAATTTTGCATAGATTTATAGAGAATTTAATGCTCTTTCCAGTGGTATATAATTTATTTCAATTTGCTTAAAACTTAACAAAGATATGGGCCATTGTTCATGACCATGTCAAGATTTCCAAAATCTCCAGAGCCAAAAATAGGATTTTCTTTTTATTTTTGTTTCTGCTTAAAAATAGCCACTTGGAAATGACGTCAGGGTTGTTTTCCACTAATTTTGACCCGCTCAATCGATTAATAAAGTCAAAATTGAGCAAAACTGGAAAATAAAAAAATCAAGTTTTTCATAAGGATATCCCCTTTGAATTCTGATTTCAAAATATTCAAACCTCAATTGCTCGGTTACCGTTGAGCAAATTCCATTGAAATTTTCAGCATTTGTAACCCCTATCAAACTATAAATGGTCTATAATTTACAATATTCCCAGATTTATAGTTTTTGAGTAAACTGAGTTTGGAGTTTTTGACAAAATTTGGACTAAAAGTCAACTTTGAGACTGAATTGTTTAGAAACTATTTGACCAATCAAATTCAATTTTCCACAGATTTATAGAGAATTTATTGCTCTTTCCAATGTTATATAGTTTATTTCAATTTGCTCAAAATTTAATAAAAACATGGGCAATTGCTCATGACCATGTCAAGATTTTAGATAATTTCTGAATGAATGAAATACAAAAAGAAACAATACAAATAAGTTAAACTAAAATTTAATACTAATTCACACCAGCCATATTCCTATTACAACTATTAAGATGCAGTCTTAAATGCTCCCGCCTCCTAAACGTCTTCTCGCAATTGTGGCACTCAAAAGGTTTAACATCGGTGTGGCAAATCAAGTGCCGTCTCAAACCCTCTTTCCTTTTAAAACAGGTGCCGCAAATTTCGCACGAAAACGGTTTCTCGTCCGAATGGATTTTTTCGTGCTGAGTCAAAAATGCCCTGCATCTGAAGGTTTTCGGGCACAAGTTGCACTTGTAAGGCTTGAGCCCGCTGTGGCCTTTGGTGTGCAACAGCCACGATTGCCTGTGCGAAAAATCTTTGCCGCAAATGTCGCAGACGAATCTTTCTAAGTTTTTCGGTGGTTTTTGGGCTAGATGTTTATCTTCAACATGTTTTTTCAATGCTTCTACTGTACTTAAAGTTCTTTTACATATGATGCAATAGTTTGAAGGTACATCGCCATCGATTAAAGGCCTGTGATTGTTCACTTGATGTTTTTTGAGGCTGCTGGCAAATATAAAAGTCCTTTGACAAACTATACAAGCATAAGGATCCATTTTGTCGTGGTAGTACCTTACGTGTTCTTCAAAGTGGGTTTTGGCACTGTAAGTGGCACCGCACTCCTCGCATCTGAAGATTTTCAATTTGAAATGTTTGGTTAATAAGTGAGTTCTGAGACAATGAGTTTGAATTCCTTTGTAGTCACAAAAAGGGCAACACATGCGTTCTTCAATGTCATGTTCAGCCAAATGAACTCCCAAAACGAAAGCATTTGGAAATGTTTCTTCGCAAGCTTTACAAACTTCCTCGTGGGTTAATAAATGTGATTCTAATACATTCATTGAGTCGCATTGGACTTCGCAAAAGGTGCAAATGAATTCGTTTTTTATTGAATCAACCTTCATAAGGGCTTCCTGACATTGGATTTTGTGGAAATACTTGTGTAGCTCGAAAAGCTTTTTGGACAAATACTGCTTTGGACATTTAGGGCACTGCTGCCAGGTTTCCACGTCGCTTTGAGGATCTAGTTCTCTATACAATTTCAAAGAGCCTCTATCTTGGAGGGTCATTTTGGGGGGCTTGTGCTTTTTGATTGAGAGAGTTAAAAGTTCTTGAGGCAGTTTGATGTCTAGGGGTTCTGGTTTGATGTAATATATCCTAAAATGGGGATTGTTTTTAGTATTTTTATTGGACAAATTGGTTTTAATGTTTAATTGGACTTTTAGTATAAGTAACATATTGTTTATTTATAAATAAATTCGTTGTACATACAAATTAGTTATTAAGCTTAATAAATTAATTTATAAATTAATAAAAACACACTTTAAGTGACTTATAATACATTTTATGTTTTTGTTGTGGGATTTTTGAAGGATAATCTAAATAAATCTAGGAATAACATCTACCATCTACTAACAAAACACTTTCTTAAGCCAGATTGACACGATCCAAGTGCACTTGGATGAAAACTTTCACCTAAGAAGCCAGAGGTTGACACCATTCAAGTCTACTTGGATCAAGGTTGCGCCTCACTTGGATTTCATTAACTGTCAATTAATTCAAATCTAGTTAAATAGGTCCTAGCTTACTTGGTCCAAGTTGTCATCCAAGAATTTGGACTTGGACCGTGTCAACCTGGATTTATCCAAGTCTAGTTGGATAGGTTCTAAGATACAGTACGCTGATTGCCAACTGCCAACTTACTTGTTCCAAGATGTCATCCAAGCACACTTGGAACATAAAACCTGGCTTAAGCTGGCAGCCAGCCTACTTACTTGGATATTAGAACCTATGCAACTAGATTCGGATAAAGGTTGACAGGGTCCAAGTGCACTTGGATGAGAACTAGAAATGGAAGGAGCAAACTGAGAAGAAATTCGTTGGAAAGGAGAAATATAAATAACTTCTTCATTCCAGGCTTTATTTAGAAAAATATGAACAAAACAGGATTTCAAGAGCCAAATATAAATAAAAAATTACAGGAAAAATAGGAGAGAAAGTTCAATAACGATTGAGAAATAAGAGAACTTCGACTATTAAGTTGGTATAACCAGTATACTTACTTGGATGTAGGATGATATGATTTAAGTATCGTCCAAGGGTACTTGATTCAAGTAAACCTGGCTTAAGTAGACTAGCTGCCAACTTACTTACTCTAAGGTGTCATCCAAACAGAATTGGACTGAACACTTTGACAATTTTAGCCCGGCTCAAGTTGGCAGCCAGCCTACTAACTTAGATATTAGAGAATCTATATATCTAACTGGACTTGGGACCCGAGTGCACTTAGATGAAAACTTGGACTAATAATTAAGTTGACAGCCAGTACTTATTTGGATGATAGGACCTAACCAAGTGGACTTGGGTAAATAGTTGTGAGACACGCACAGCTTCCAAGGGTACTTGATGCAAGTACTTTTGGACCGTGTAAATCTAGCTTAAGCCAGGTTGACACAGTCTAAGTAAATTTGGATGATAACTCAATGGACCAAGTAAGTTGCCAGTCAGCCTATGGTAAGAACCTATCCAACTGAACTTGGATAAGCAAGTGATACTATCCAAGTATCGTCCAAGTGAGGCGCGCGCAGCATCCAAGTAAACTTGAACCGTGTTTACCTAGCTTAAATAGGCAAACTGCTAACTAACCTAGTCCAAGTTGTCATCCAAGCATACTTAAGCCAAGTACTTGGACCGTGTAAAGTCAGCTCAAGTTAACAGTCAACCTACTTTCTTTACTTGGATAGGTTCTAATCTATCCAACTGAACTTGGATGACAACTTGAACCCACTTAGTTGGCAGCCAGCCTACTTACTTTGGATGTTAGGATGATACGATTCATGTATAGTCCAAGTCTGAGGGTACTTGATCCACCAAGTACACATGGACCGTGTCAACCTGGCTTCAATACTTAATATTATACATTGGATTTTGGAAATAAGCAAAAGTGTCAATGTGTATAAAAGAAGAAACCAATCTATTAGTAAATAAGTTCAGTAGAAAACCTTCAATTAACCATTAACAGGTTTACTCCTGTCACAAATCTTCATATGAGCCCTTTGCGTTTCCTTAGTCCCAAACTCTTGCCCGCAAAACGCACAATTAACCGTCGCCTTAAGCTGAGTCCCATGCACCACCAAATGCCTCCTAAGATGTTTCCAAGTCTTGTAGCTTTGCCCGCAAGTTTCGCACGAAAAAGGCCTTTGATCAGTGTGCGACACTTCGTGAGAAAGCCTTTTCGAATTAATCACAAAAGATTTGGGACAAAACGAACATTTGTAAGGTTTGTCGCCTGCGTGATCTCGCAAATGCAAATTGAAGGTTTTGTAGAAGCGGAATTCTTTGCCGCAAAGGTCGCAAACGAAGTGGCCTTGCCTTTCGACTCTCGGTGTGGGTATACAACGTTTCATTTCTAAATGCTTAGCCAAAGAAGTTGGTCTTTTGAAGCTCATTTTACATAAGGCGCAATAGTTTGAAGACATTTCGCTTTCGTCTACAACTCTGTGTTTGTTGATTTGATGAATTCGCATGCTTGATTGTAACGTAAAGGTGTTACCACATACAATACATTTGTATGGTTCTTTTTGTAGATGGACAACTCGGATGTGGTCTTCAAGCATGGTTTTTGATAGGTATGAAGAGCCGCAATATTCGCATTGGCTTGTTTTTGGGCGTTCTTTTTGGTGCGTTTGCCTTATGTGTCTTATTAGGCGACTTTTGCATTTTGTTTTGAAATCGTGGCTGCACATTGGGCAACTGATGATGCCTTCGTCGTTATGTTCTGCCATGTGAAGCCCAATCAAAAGGGCTTTTTTGAATTTCTTTGAACAAACTGGACAAGTGTATGAGTGAGTTTCTACATGAACATCTATGTCTTGTTTTGTAGGGAATTCTTGCAGGCAAGTGTCGCAAGAATATGAATTTCTTAATAAGTTGAAGGTGTATAAGGACTCTAAGCGTTCAACTTTGTGGAGTTTTTGATGGTTCCTTAAGTCTTTTATTTTTGTGAATTGTTTATTGCAGGTATCGCATTGAAGCATTTCTGGTTTGTCTTCAAAATGCTCTTTTGCTATATGCTTTCTTATTTCCAAAACGCTTTTGTGTGTTTGCGAGTTACACAAAGGGCAAACGAGTTTGTTTTCTTCATTGTGTTTTGCCATGTGCAAGCTTAGTAGAAAAGCATTGTCGCATTGTTCTGAGCATTCTTCGCAGTTTATTGAATGCTTCGTTGAGTGTTCTAGGGCTTTTTTCTTTTTGGAAAATTCGGCCTGGCAATATAAGCAGCTAAATACGCGATAGTGCTTGTCGAAATTGAAATACGAAGAGTCTTGGTGAAAGTGCTTGTGCAAATTGGCTAGTTTTTGAGTTTTGAATTTGGTTTTCGGGCATTTTGGACAGCTCAGGAGCTTTTTTGGACGTCCTTTGCCCCGTTTCTTCCTAAAAATGGACAATGGACATAGTTATAAAATGGAATTTATTTATGGGTTTATGGATGGTATAGATTGAAATAAAACAACTATTCAAGCAGAAAAGGAGTTTATTTGGGAAATAGTTTATCTTGTAGCTGAAGTTCCTAAGGTTGTCTCGTATGGATAGCTTGATGACGCATCTGGAGTGCCTTATGTAGATTTGAGGCATACAAATGACGTCATAAAAGTTATCAGGCAACCTCGTTTCAAGCAACCTTGATCTTGTAGACCATTGAATTTTGATTAAAATTCAACAATTGAACATTAATTTGTTGAATAAATAAGCGAATTATAATAATTATTTATAATTTGGGAAATTAATTTTCATCTAGGTAGGCCATGTAAACAGCCAACAATAAGAAATAGACCAGTAGCTTTACAAGAATGAAATGTTGAAGTTCCAAGTATACACAACAAACATTTTCCAACGAAGTGAAATACTTGGGACCCTGAAAAAACAGAAAACATGTTCTAGAGCTATATCAGCCATCTGGTTATGCCGCAAACTGGTAAAACATGGAGGCTAAAGCTAAAGATGGTATCCTGAATTCACCAAACTATGGTCACATACGCCTTATTGGTATGGTGGCCCAAAACTCAGCTAGTCACCACTAAGATCAAGCTAACTAAGGTACTGGAGGCACCGGGACTAAGACAGTCAAAGAGGTTAATTACCTTTTCAGCAAAGAGAGCTGAACATCTCCTAAACATAAGCAGACCAGACATCAGAATAGTCGTAGAATTGTTCACAGAGCACTACCTGATGAAATACCGAGTGAAATACTATTTAATGTTCATGGGCAGAAGACAATCTTTGCAGATTCTGCTGTAAAACATAGGGGCTGAAGCTAAAGATGGTATTCTGGATTCACCAAACTATGGTCACATTCACCATTGGTATGGTGGTCCAAAACTCAATTAGTTACTGCTCAGATCAAGCTAAACAAGTTACTGGAGGCACACTCAGGGTTGTTACAGGCTACACAATTGTGAAGTTTGCTACACAATTGGACTATCGATTACACAGGTGCACCCCAATGACCAATTTCATCTGTTTGCTACACTTTTTAATAAACTGCACAGAAATGCTACACAATGAATAAATCACCTATTCCGTAACTCAAAATTCTTGAAATTGTAGAAAAAACAATTAGAAACCATAGAGAGAAAATAACAACATAAAAATCATCACTGCTGGCTTTATGTTTACATGTTGGTGTGTCAGTATGGAAAAAAACTTCGGGATCTATATAATAATAAGGTGCTTTTTGGGTGCTTATTAGGGCCTCTAATTGAAAATTAGGTGCTCCTTTAGTTATTGAGAAAATTAAGAAAAACTAAAGTACTGCTAGGTTTATAAAAGCTAGCAGTCCCCTCCAAATTTTGTAGACGGCCCTAAAACATCATTCTAATCACTTTTTCCAAATAACTTTTTCCGAAATTTTGCCATCTAACCCCACTTTCCGCGATTCCATATCTAAATTTTCGAATTTGCCGCCACAACAGTGATCACGTGACCAATGTCAAAATGTACTTTTAGGTTATCAGACATGCAGGATCGATCCCACATAAGAAAAAATCCATATCCTACAAATAAAAAATTTTCCCATATGTAGTGAACATCATGGGGGATACTGTATATGAAAGATGGGCCAAGTCCTTGCGGGGGGGGGGGGGCGGATTTGAAGTTACGCCACTGATTGACTGTGCACTAAACTTTCTATTTATGCTATCAGGAGATCGGGGTCTATTTTCATTTTTCAGGAGTTTTTTAAAGTTCAACTTATTTCTTTATTAGAAATAGTTTTATTTTGTGAAATTCGTAAAAAGTGTTACTTAAATCTTGAATGACAAAGTTATAGGCGGCCTGAGGCCGCCCCTAGATTTGGCCGCCCGCGTGCGGGGCACACCTGCTAAGAACGGCCCTGGCAGCACCATTGGCGTAGTCAGAACTTTATCTTAGGGGAGGCAAATTTGCAGGAAGTGATCCTTGCAGTAGTTGCAGCTTCCGCTGCAGGAAGCAAAGCGCCCTGAAATTTTGGGGACTTTTTACGCTATTTTTGGGATTTCTAATGGTAGGGGCAAGCGAGGATGCGGCCATTTTAACAAATTTATAGTAAAACGTTACTTATATTATCTCAATATTTTTGTACCTACCCACTACCGCACATTCACTACGAGGGCTCAAGCCCCCATTTCCTCCATGATTCCGGCGCCTATGAACATGAGCAGACCAGACATCAGAATGGTCGTAGGACTGCTCACAGTACACTACTTGGTGAAATACTACTTAAGGTTAATAGACAAAAGACAATCTCTGCAGATTCTGCTCAGATGTAATAAATATCGCAAAGAACCTGCTCTGCGAATGTCCAGCCCAATTCTGCGAGAGGCTCAAATTCTTTGAGGGGGCAACACTGTCATCAGGAGAATTGGGCCAACTGACACCCAGAAAAATAACTTCATTCGACAAGAGTCTACGCTTCCTGGAGACAATTTAAGATGTAGAATCACGTACAAAATATCTGCAAAAGTAGCAGTGCTAAGCGGCTGGAAAACCTCCGTCAATCTACAATCAACAATCTGGGCAGACTGCTACAACATACCTAAAGACTCAAAAATGCATATCAGAAAACTCTTAACAAACAAATACTTTTACAAAAATAATCAACACCTTGAAAGCTTCAGAACATCTACTTCCTCTAAAATAAGATTCACGAATTATATATACAATTCTTATGACACTTCAGTGCCGACTTAGAACTAAACCTCGCCTTACACAACGAACATTCATAAGGCTTCTCCCCAGTATGAATCCTCAAATGAATCCTCAAAGGAGCGCCTTGGCTAAACCGTTTGCCGCAATACTCGCAGCCGTAAGGCTTTTCGCCGCTGTGCACCCGCTCGTGCATCACCAAATAGTCCTTTTTAGTAAAGCATTTGCCGCAATGCGCACAGGCGTACGGCTTATAACCGGTATGAACGCGCTCGTGAATCACCAGTTTGCTGCGTTGCGCGAAGCCTTTGCCGCAAGTTTCGCACAGGTGCTTCTTTTCGTGCGGGCCCTGCTTCAAGTGCGACTCTTCCATGTGCTTTTCCAGGGTTTCGGATTTGCTGTATTTGCGATTGCAATAGGAGCACTGGTTTGGTAGGAGGATACCGTCGATGGATACTCTGTGGGCGCGTACTTGGTGGGTGTATAAGTATCTGGTATAGGTGAAGGTTTTGCCGCAGACTACGCAACCGAAAGGCCGCACGCCCAAATGTTCGTTTGCGTGCTCTTTGAATAGTAAATGGTCGTTGAAGCCTTTGCCGCAAGTTTGACAAAAGTAGGAGAATTTTTTTAAGTGGACATAGTTTATGTGAATCAATAGGGAGCCCTTTTTAGGGCTTTTGTAGGTGCACAAAGGGCACGCCACATGCCCTTGAGGGTGGTGATCTGACGAGTGCGCACCCATTTCGTAAAGGGTTTTAAAATTCTTGTTGCATTGAGAGCAGGAGTATTCTTTTTCGTGGATGTTTTTTATGTGGTCTTTGGCTTCAGTTTCTTGTTGGAACTCAGCTGAGCAAGTGTTGCATATATAGAGATCTTGGAGAAAGTCAAACTTGTATGTGTGAGTTTCCACAAAGTCTTTGTTGCTTTTAAGATGGATTTTCCGGTGCGCTTTTAGTTTGCCGGATGTTGAAAAGGTTTTCGGGCATTTTGGGCATTTGAATTCTTTTTTTATGGGTATTTCTTCACAGTCTTCGTTTTTAATGTTGCAAATGACGTAATTGTCGTCAGCGGCATCTGAAGAGTCAAACCTTTGTTTTAAAAGTTTCAAGGTAATTTTACTAAAAAAAAAAATCTAGTTTTAGAACTGGTTCCGTTTGAGGCCCTGCTTTACTTACCTTCACCTAAAAGAAACCCACCTAGGAATTCTTTGTCAAAACTGTGAGGAATTTGGAGGAATTTATGAGACATTGAAGAAATGTATAAGAAATTTTATTGGTTTAAACACTGAGCTTGAATTTGGAGGAATTTGCGGGTAGTTTGAAGAATTCTTTGCGCAAGCCGCGAATTCAGTGTAGTGCTTTACCCCTTGAAAACACCAATCACACACAATCTATCAAAAAATCTTTATTACGCTTTATAATCACCACCACTAGTACAATTCCTCTTGTGCAACCTCAATCCTTGATTGGTCGTAAACCCTTTAGTGCACAATTCGCACACGTAAGGCCGTTCCCCAGTGTGCGTCCGTATGTGAACCTTGAAAGGTGCAGATTGCCTAAAAGCCTTGCCGCAATATTCGCAACTAAAGGGCCGTTCGCCCGTATGAATTCGTTCGTGACAATTGCGCTCGCCCGATTTGGAAAAGCTTTTTTCGCAATATCTGCACGAGTAAGGCTTAACGCCTGTGTGAACTCTTTGATGTACTACCATTTTGTTTTTTTTCGCGAATCCCATTCCGCAAATGTCGCACAAGTGGATTTTTTCTTTGGGTCGTTTTGGTCCTGAATGTACTTGTTGTACGTGTCTTTCCAGTGAAGCTACAGAAACGAATCTGTTTCTGCAAAAAGTACATTCGGTTGTGTGGGCTTTGCCTAAGATTTCCACTCTGTGTGCTTTTAGCTGATGAGTCACTACAGATTTTGTGTAGGTGAAGCCGGCATTGCAAACTATACACCTGAAAGGTTTGACGCCTAAGTGGACGTTCATGTGTTCGCTGCAAAGGGTTTTGCTGTGGAATCCTTTGCCGCACTGGCTGCAGTTGTACATGTAACGTTTTTGGTGTTTGGTGTCTATGTGCTTGATGAACAGTGCAGGTTTGGAGAATTTTTGTTCGGGACACAGAGGGCAGTCGAAATCTTCATCTTCACTATGGGAGATCTACAAATGTTTGAAGTTTTATAGTTTATTATTCATATTTCTATTTGAGAACCTCAGATTCATTTTGATAGATAGTAGTAGTAAAACAACACCACTATGGGACCATTTTCTGTTGAATATAATAATGTATAGGATATGGACATTTACTTAGTTTTACCACACAATATTATTGTGTTTTTGTAATGACGTTAATTTTTAATCGATTGACTAATGTAATTTCAGATGAAATTGTCTCTTGTCTCTATTAAGTATTAATAGTTATGTAGTAATCAGTTTTTCCTGTTATTTCACATTTAACATTATATCTTCTACTAAAAATCGCTTTCCGTATATCATTTGTCCATTAATTTTAAGAGGTTATGGGCCTAGAAGTGAAGGTTAGTGGAAAATGGCTGTAAACTGTAAGTATAAGAATTATAGAGGATTTAGAGGTAATTACAAAGGTCGCCTCGTCGAAAAATAGAAGGAGAATGAAGAGAGAAAGCATCAGGTAAACACAGCTGAAGAAGTGAACAGAGTTGGGACTTTTGTTGTAGTTCACTAGAGGGTTGAAAGGCCTCCAAGGTCCGTATCTCTGGGCGTGACGTTCAGGAATAATTCCCGGAAGATCACTAGTTACCTTTAACCAAGATAACGAGTACAAAGCTCTTGAAACCGACTTTGTGGATAATTATCACAATTACTAATTTGCGTAATTAAATGAGTACCCAACTAATATTGTTCAATACTGGTTTTATTAATCAAATTGGTTCCTATTTATATTGTACATTTCAACTTGAAACTTATTATATTTATCATAAGTAATAACAATGAACTGTGTGTTGACCTTGTTTAGGCAGGTATCTAAAACATTGGCGCTACACTGTATCATTATGGAAATTAAGGTGACTGACGCCGTGAATGATGAATCTTGGTTTTTTAGTAAATTTGGGCAAGGTTTGTGATACTTTGATTACCTTGCCAAATTTATAACAAACAAACATTTTATAATATGTAGAAATTTCGAAATGTGTAATTCAAATTTTATGTTGATTAAACAAGAAGTGATTCTATTTGCTGCAAACTATTACAGTGATGTTGAGTTTTGTATTGGACTCAGGTGCGAATAATCATTTTGTGCAGGAAAGTCTAGAAGTCAAAAAGTTCGACATACAAGTGGTACCAAACTATGTATGAATACATATACAGCAAATGCAGAAATTTTACGTAAACAGTGTGAAGTCAATTAGGGACTCCATATATGTGGATAGATTAATTGAATTTTTGCCTGACCAGTGCCATATTTCAGTGAATAAGGACTTATAACATAGAAGATTGGGTCATGACACACTCATGTAGCTAGATTTATCAAAATTTGATAAAATATGCAGCAGTTGTATGGAAGGAAAGGTAACAAGGTGTCTATTTGATGAAAATAAGAGGACCTCAACTGCTATGGGAGATCTGGAGTGATAAAAATGTTAAAAACTGAAAATGAGTCTAGCAAGAATCTTATTCAATATGTAAAAGATCTTGAAACACAGTACCAGGTTAATGTCAAAGCATTTAGACTAGATAATGAAAGTCGAGTAGTTTTAGGAATTTTTCTAAGAAGAATAGTATTACTTTGCAGTATACCATGTCAATTACCCCCCAAGAGAATGGAAAAGCTGAAAAAATTAATAGAATTCTATTGGATACAATGAAAATCAAGATTATAGATTCAGGTATTCCAAAAACACTATGAGATGAGGCTTTGAAATGTTCTATGTATGAACTGAATAGCATTCCAACTAGAGCTTTACCTCTTGGAGTAAAAATGATCTGAGTAAGTTCAAGATTATTGGGTGTCGAGCCTGGTTCACAACTCTACCCAAAGGTGATAAGTTAGATGCTAAAGTAAAGCAGGTGGGATATTGTGGTAGTGGCTACAGATTGTGGTTACCAGATAAACAGAAAATAGTGAGATCCAAAGACGTAAGATTTGATGAAGGCATCAGAAGATAAAGATAGAAAGTGGGCCAAAGGAAAAAGGAAAACAGCTAAACTACTTACCTGATAAAGAAAAGGAAAGAGAAAAGAGACCTGTTCAAATGACCAATAATATGTAAGGATGCAATGGAAATTTAAGTAGTGATAAAAACGGAAAACATATGCCATGGAATAATAAAACTATAACAAGATATTAAAGAACTGTGAACAAACTCAAAATTCTTGATGACTATCAAACAGTGCGTATTGTTTGCTCATAGCGACTCGAAATGAGCCTAAGATTTATGCACAAACCTGTAAAACTGCAGAGAGAAGGAAATTAAGAGCCGATATTTCAATGTCATCCTAAGGTGCAGAATAATGTTAAGTCATCCTTAATTTAGGTGCCACATGAATGAACTAATTTGAAATTTACCTTAACGTTAAGGGTACCATAAGTCTAAGCTTGATTTTAAGGAAACATTGAAATATCGGCCCTTAACCTTTAGCTGCCCGCGCACTAGGATCTTCTGTAGCTACTCGCGCGGTGTATTATGTATACCACATTTATAAATGTGCGGAGTGCATAAATCAATGTAAGGATAACGACATTTTATGCCCTGATTTATCATTCACCTATATGCTGAAAAAATTACAGAACCGGTATCTCCTGTCGTCCAGAGTTCCAAAAACTGGGTAGAATTTTGTTTACTATCCAGGGGAGCAATGTTCTCATGAGAACAGAGATTCTGTCTTAGTCATTCACATTTATATTTCCATAACACTGACAAAGACAGAACAATCGTTCTTGTGAGAACGCTGCTTCCCGGTTTCGAGAATAGACATCCAGATAACATTAGCAAATCCATGAATGCTTGCATAGTGCACTAAAAAACTTGTCGATAAATCTCGTAACTTTCCAGCTACCAAAGCGCAACTGTCTGAGCACCTAGTGAACATATGGGTCATAGATTATACACCGGCGCAGATATAAGGCGATTTCAGCAAGCTTTGGTACATGGTTTGGTCTGTCAAATGCATACCAACCAATTTCGGATACGAAAATGATGTCGTCACCGTGACTTTGGTATCCTTTTTGATCTGTCAAATAGGATACCGTGGTCAGCAGCACGGTTCTTCTCATTTGGTATAGTGCTATCTACGTCTATTTTCGTTTTGTCCTGCTCTGGGAAATGTAAATAAAAGTTCATTAGAATTTGAATAATTTGAAATTTTTAACAAATATGTTTGTTTTTTCGCTACCTAAGAGGATTTTCCAGTACTATTAACTATGGACTAACCTTCAAATAACGAACTTATAGGTGTATGTAATACTGATTGGGAAGGTTATCGTCATACTCGCAAGAGTGTAAGTGGATTTGTATGTTTTCATGGAAAGAGTCTAGTAGCCTGGTATTCAAAAAAACAGAATTGTGTAGCATTGTCCTTAATAAAGGCAGAGTACATTTTTGCAGGACTGGCAGCACAAGAACTTATTAATCTTAAAGGTGCTTTCATGATTTCACAGGTATGACTAGACCAGTGATTTTGAAATTAAAATAGACAATTTGAGTGTCATATCTATGATGAAGAACTGTGACAATTCTAAGCGTAGCAAACATATAGATGTTTAGATCATGTTTGTTACATTAATCAAGTAAGTGACCATTGACCTATGACTATGTCACTTCTTTAATCATCCCTCTAATCTTATGGCCACGTGACCTTACCAGCAGCCTCTGATATCACTTTTTCCGCCATCCCTGCCAAGGACTCTCATGTTCTTCAGCGAAAGAATTGTCACTTAACATCCACAACAAATGACCTTAAAAATGGTCCCATACTGGTGTTGTTTTACTACTTAAAATCGCTACAACAAGAACCTGATAATTCTTACCTTTAAATGGTTTCCTAATTGGAACAAAGTTTGGAATTTTTCCTCACATAAACGACAATCAAAAATTTCACCGTGTGTCTTCGTGTGTTTCTCTGCTTCAATTTCGTCTTTGAATTCTGCTGAACAAGTGTTGCAAATGTAAATCTCCTGGATATCATCAAAAGAGTAAGTGTGGTCTTCGACGAATTCTCTCGGAGCATGGTGCTCCTTTCTGTGGATTTTGAGGTCCTTCATAGAGTCGAAAGTTAGGGGGCATTTTTTGCAGGAAACTGTTTCTTCTACTTTTATCCGAATGGTTTCTTGGTGGTCGCTGTCTAAGTCGCTGCAAATCGTTTTGTCTTTGTTTTTTTTGTTTCGACATTTATATTTTCGTTTAGGTTTTTTATCAATATCTTCTTCTGATTCAGATTCTTCTTTTAAAATTATGCTTATAAATTTGCTGGATTTTCGCCTGCTTTTACGTATGCGTTTTTTCCTAAAAGCAATTTTTTATTAGATTAAAATATAAACATATTAACACTAAAAATTATTTAGTAGATTCTCCAAGGCAATTTTTCTTGTGTAGCTTCATGGCTTGATTAGTTGTGAAGCCTTTATAGCAAAAGTCGCACTTATAAGGCCTCTCTCCTGTATGTTTCCTAATATGTACTCTAAATGGTGCATGGAATCCAAAACACTTGCCACAATACTCGCACGAGTAAGGCTTTTCACCTGTATGCACTCTTTCGTGTGTTTTCAAATAATCCTTTTGTGGGAATTTTTTGTTGCACCAAGTGCAAACAAATGGAAGATCGCCTTTGTGCACTCTTATATGTTTGTGAAGTTTTGATTTTTCAATAAAGCCTTGTCCACAAGTGTCGCATAAGAAACTATTAGGCTTTTTGGCAGTCTTTCTTTTAAAATTACAAATAATTACATGCTCTTCTAAATCTTTGAAGTTGTTGAATAATTTGTGGCATCTTTTGCACTCATTTAAGTCGCTGGAGCTCACTTGGTGATTTCTCACTTGATGTACTATCAAGTACTTTTCAAAGCTGAAACTTTTATTGCAAACAATACACTCAAAAGGCTTAGTACCGTTATGGAAGTTTTCATGCTCCTTGTACAACTTAAATTGCTTGAAACCTTTACCGCACTCTTTGCAATAAAATGGAAACTTTTTCAAATGCGTATAGTTTACATGTGCCTTGAAACTATACGGATTAGAGCTTTTGCTTATATATTTGCACAAAGGACATTTGATTTTACCATCTCCATGCTTTGAAGAGTGTATACCAAGATCAAAAGCATTGTTAAATAATTCATCGCACTCGTAGCATTTCAAAATAGGTTTGTGAGTTTTTATGTGGTCTTCGACTTCTTGGGCGTTTTGAAACTCGGCCGAGCACACTTGGCATATGTAGAGGTCTTGCAGCAAATCGAATTTGTACGAGGGATCTTCTTCGATAAAGTCTTTAGCTTTGTGAGTTTTTTTGTGATCGCGCAACATTGTTTCGGTTTTGAACGAGGCCTCGCAATATTTACATATGTGAATTTTCTTCTTTTTTAAAGCTCGTTTTCTAAAAAATTATCTTTCATTATCTTCTAAATTATGGCTTATAAAGTAGGTAAGAAAAAGAAAACTATATAGTATGAGGAATGTAATTTACTTATACACATAAAACACATTTAAATTAGACAGGACCAATAACTGCATATTGTTCGAGGACAATGTTGGGACTGATGACAACGGGTTCAAGTTCTGTCAGGTTACCGTCTCGATTGTTGGTGCAATTTTTCTTGTGCAACTTCAAGCCTTGGTTCGTTGTGAAGCCTCTGGTGCAAAATTCGCAAACGTAGGGGCGTTCGCCTGTGTGAGTCCTCCTATGAACCCTACAAATTTTGTACATTGAGATTATGTATATGGGATGGAAAATAGAGGAGGAACAAAAGATGCCTTTAGATAAAACAACTAGTGTTTTCATCTTCAGCAGGGATTTTCGAGTCTACATACCGTTATATAATGACAAGGTGATAATGATAGAGTGATAACGACTTAGTTAATTCAACATTCTTGAAGGAATTATCCAAAAAAATACAAATTTTCCACGTTTCTACATCTTGTCCATGATGATCAGTTGAATATGAGATCTTGATATGCGAAAATTTGGAATTTCAACATTGAATTGATGATATTGTAGTTGTAATGAAGGACTACAATAACTGCAAATTTCCAATTGCCTCATTGAAGCCCGGTTTATTGATCTTCAGAGACTTCACATAAACTTGCTGGTAACTATCTGCCAACCAAATAGATCATAGAGCAAGAAAGCCAATTCAGATTATCAGGGCAAGAATTTTCCAATCTTGTATTGAGATTGCCAATGAGAAAACCGGAAGCCATAAAAGCACCCAAAAATAGATTGCCTATAGTCTCAAATATTTAATAGGCACACTTGTGACATCACTAGTATCCTGAACTTGAAGGCAACGGAAATCAAATTGTGAGGGTGCCATATTGGCATCATTGGAATTATATAGTTCCAGATTTCAACATTTGGACTTCAAATCTCGTCAGAGTGTCTTTTAAATTGAATCAGTATCGTATCTGAACACCATGAAGAAATTGCTAGTCATGAGTTCCCATGGAGCAACTGGAGTTAGTTCCGCAGCAATTTATTCATCAATACAGGTGTTCTTAAATAGATCATACAGTGTGCTGGTAACACAATTTAGTAAATAATCTAGGTTACCTAAATACATTTAATAATATTTTCTGAATAGCATTAGGCGCATTCTGAATAGCATTAGGTGCATTCTGAATAGCATTAGGTGCATTCTGGATAGCATTAGGTGGAATGGAATAATAATATTGAAAACATCAGTGTAATATCAATAAGCAACTGGAGAGAATGCGCATATGCAGGTTCTGTCAGGTTTAGGTTCACAAAACAAATATATTATGAAATGGCTGTTTCACGGCTCTGGAATCTTAGGAGAAGGACAACGCACTCTAAGGCACACCAAAATAAATCTGACAAGGTTGCAGTGGTAGAAGACACTAATCTATGTATATTGAAAGTTTCTTACCTGAAAGGTGCATGTTGTCCGAACCTCTTGCCGCAAAACTCGCACTCGTAAGGTTTCTCGCCCGTATGAACTCGCTCGTGAGTTTTCAAATAAGACAATACTGGAAACCGTTTGCCGCACCACGAGCAAACAAACGGCAAATCGCCCCTGTGCACCCGAAGATGCTCCAAAAGCTTGGCCCTTTCGGTAAATGTTTGACCGCAAGTGTCGCACAAAAACGACTTGGCAGGGGTGCCGCTTTTGGTTTTCTTGTTGCGTTTGTAGCACGTTTCAAAATGCACTGCTAAAGCTTCGGGTTTGTAGAAATGGCGGTTGCACGTTTTGCATTCGTGTTCGATTTTCCTGCCTGAAGTGCCAACTTGGTGGTTTCGCACTTGGTGCATGTTTAGGTATTTGGGGTAAGGGAAACCTTTCAGGCAAACGACGCAAATATAAGGCTTTTTGCCTGAGTGTATATTTTGGTGGTCTTGATAGAACTTAATATGTCTAAACCCTCTGCCGCACTCTTTGCAAAAATAAGGGAACTTCCTCAAATGCACATAATTTACATGAGTCTTAAAACAGTAAATACTAGAAGTTGTTGTTTCGTAGGTGCACAATGGACATTTGATTTTATTTTCTGAATTGTGTACTGCTGAATGTACCCCTAATTCGATGTAAGTTTTGAAGTTGCTATTGCAAATTGTGCAACTAAGAATCTTCTCGTGCGATTTCATGTGATCCTTGGCTTCAGCTTCAAGCTGAAATTCAGCCGAGCAAACATTGCATATAAACAACTCTTGGATTTCATCAAACTTGTAATTAGGTTTTTCTTCAGTAGTTTCATCCGGAAATAATTGTTTGTGGGTTTTGTTGTGGGCCTGGAACAATTTGTAGTTTGTTAATGTTTGGTCGCAATATTTGCAAGCGTAAGTGCGGGGGGGTTTCCTAACTCTTTTTTTAACAGTTTTTTCTGGTAATAATGGTTCAAAGCTGCAATCTTTGTTGTGCTTGTGACGTTGCCACAATTTAGTATCGTAGAAAACTTCCTTGCACCTGTCGCAGTTCCACGATTGCACTCCAGGCCGCTTTTTCACTTTGTTTTTGGGTTTGACGTTTTCGAATTCGTCTTTTTTTAATTTCAGTCTTGTCAAGAGATCCAAATCTTCATCGTCGCTAGCTTCTTTGAAGTTTTTTTGTTTGTTAGTAGCTCTAGTACGCTTCTTCCTAAAATTACTTTTGTTAGAACACAAGGGTAATTGCTATTTTAAACATTATAAGTTCAGATTAACTACAAAAATATCTGTTTTTTGAAAAGATTTTATTAAATTCAACAGTAAAATACAATGACAATCAATAATTCGACTTGCTGGTTAACGTACTTTCAGGTATGTTCTGGTACTTGTGGTATTATTTCCTAATATTAAATAAAATCCTCTAAATACGAAGGTCTTCTTCTTAATCTTACCTCTAAGTATGACATCAGACATCATCTTAATATATTGTGATTATTTGGATGAAACACTAATATGTTGTATATCATATTACCAATTGGTTTTATGGTTTTTCCAGGAACTTGATATTTTTCTAAATTTTAGTACAAATTGTATAAAAAGTTATAGGCAATACCAAAATACATCGTTTAGGAAACTTTACTTGTCTTGCAAATTACTCTGAGGGTGGTTTAAGAGGGTAAACCTAATAGTTGTGATTCATCGAAAAAAGGGTGTTTGTGAAAATATGATATGGGCATTTCCACCCCAGTTCCGGACACAATTAGTACAGGATGTTATAGGGAGTACCAATATACATCGTTTGGGGAACCTCACTTGATTTGCAAATTATGCTTTGAGGGTGGTTTAAGAGGGTGAGACTTATAATTGCGATTTATCGAGAAAAGGATTTTTATGAAAATATGAACATTTTCACCCTATTTCCCTCATATCCCAATTATTGTCATGATAAGTTCCATCAATATAAGAAAGTAAGATACAAGTGTAATAATCTGCCCCACTCTAAACTCACATACAGTTATGATTGACTGCACACCATTAGGTACACAATATTCAATCCATATCACAAATTCTTTTATTTATTAATAACAAAATGTTAACCAAATATATATCATTATATTAGTCAGTGGAACAGTCAGACATTTTGTCTGTGGGGAGGCTATGCAGAAAAATTATTAAGAATATATACTTACTATCCTTTGAAGGGGGTGTAAACCAAAAATCAAAATTTCTGTATAACAAACTCTAAGACAACAAACTGCACCATCTTATGCCTAACGTCACAACCGCTCGGTTACTGTGGGCCGGTATTTCGTCACTTTATGTTACAGAATAACGAGTTTCACCGTATATTAAAGTTCCCTTAATTAAAAGTTCAACTTAAGCTACAATGAACTAATTTCATGTTAAGGATACCTTAGGTAAGTCTTGATTTCAAGGTAACCATAGCTCTGTTTCAACCGACATGAGAACCGTTTTACAACCAGTAATTTCCAGTTGCCCACCTAGTTTAATCTTACTTGACAAATGAATTGAGCGACTGGAAAATTACCGTTCTAGAACGGTTCTCATGTCGGATGGAACAGAGCTATAAGGGCCGGTATTTCAATGTCACCTCAAGGTGCAAGATGAAGTTAAGTCATCCTCATTACAAGTTTCACCGTATATTAAACTTCTCTTAGTTCAAGGTGGATCTTAAGCCACATGAATGAACTCATTTCAAGTTCGCCTTACCGTTAAGGGTATCTTAGGTAAGTCTTGATTTCATATTTTCACTAAAACCCTTTTTTCGATGAATCGCAATTATTAGTTTTACCCTCTCAACAGTTATTTGCAAGTCAAGTGCAGTGTTGCCAGATAAAATAAAAAAATTTCGTTAGAATCGATAAAGAAACATCGTGAGACCTAAAATTGCTTGTAAGAAAATAATGCCCAATGTTTTTCTATAGATTTTTGATAGAGTAGACATGATTTTACATCCATAAGATAATGAAATTTTATTATTAAATCTTGTATCCTTGTTTTTTCCGCTTTTTAGCAGGTGTTTCTGAAAGCTGAACCTCGTTTTCATTATCCGCAGGATTGCTTATCCTTAAAAAGCGTACGTTCGCCAATTCTCGAGTCGGCAGCTGGTTTGCGAGTGACGTCACTACTATAGCTGATAGATGTGATGAATTGCTTGCGATTCAGGCTGTGCTTGTGAGTTAATTTTATTGGGAGTTTTAAATTAGGAAAAGGCAATTTCAACGTTTATGAATTCGTTTTTTTGGACTCGCATAATGCATTTTCTGTCAAGAGTTGAGGTCTGCAGCTGACGTCACAAATAGTGGGGTCTCGTGGACTTCGCAGACACTTTCAGCTCAATGACTAGTCCAATTAGCACAGGATATAGAAAAACAAACAGCAGGTTAACTCTCACGCGCATCTCTTCTGCGCACGCCGCCATTCGAGGATACAGCCTATCTTTACATGGCAAAACAATGAGATTTAACGCCCATCTCATCTGCGCACGCCGCCATTTTGGGATACAAAGCTCAAATTAGCCTGCTGATTGTTTTTGTATATGCCGTTAGGTGAAGTGTTCTTGAGCGCGCATGTACCAGGAGCAGCGTAACATAACTAAATATTGTATAGTAGATTTTTATTTCGATTATTTTCGATTACATTATATTTGATTACTGATTTGTATTACTACAGAGAGAATTCGTGAGATTTGCTACCTCATTCGTGAGATCGTGAAATTCTGACCAAAATCGTGTAATCTCACGAATAATCGTGAGATCTGGCAACACTGGTCAAGTGAAGTTCCCTAAACGGTGTATATTGGTACTGCCTATAACTTCCAGTACCGTTTTTATACCCGAGACTAGAGTAAAAATGTCTTGCAAATATTGATTTTACTCTCTTTAACCACCCTCAAAGGTCCTTAGATAAACTGACACATTTTGCAGGTCAGGATGTGCTTATAAATAAACTGGCACACTTTGGAGGTAAATATCTCGAAAACGAGAAAAGATAACGAGATGCGGTTTGTTCCGGGAGAATAAGGATATTTTAAGGTTTTTTTTTTACAGTATTGCCAAATCCCAAAATTAGCTGAAATTTGGTTTTACAGACATGCGATTTTTTGGAATCGTCAATAGTGTAAAAAAAACTTTAAAACATCCTTATTCTCCTTGAACAAACCGCATCTTGTTATCGTTTCTCGTTTTCGAGATATTTATCTACTTAATGTGTCAGTTTATCTGTATTTGTGAATCAAGTGAGATGCCCTAAAACCCATAACTTCCAGTACCATTTGTACCCGAGAATATCTTTTGAACCATACATCAAAAGTGCTCCCTGGTTCCTGATCATAATGAAATTTTGTTATACTATATTACCCAGGGTTTCCATCCACTTTTTTGGTTTGGCTGGATTTTAAGTTAAATTTTGGAAATTTGATGAAAACTGACCCAAAAACTGATAAGAAAGTTTTGATGAGTCCTTAGATTACGCAATCTATTCCAATATGGCTGTTCAGCTCAAATTGTGGTGACGTTCATAAAAAAAGCATTTTTGTTCAGGGCCTTTATTGTTGTAGATGCCAATTATAACAATATGACAATGCCAATGTCAAACCCAAATGTCCAGAATGTGACAAAATAATAATTTTTCATTGATTTCTTATGGCCGTTTGCACCGACAATTTTAAGGAGAGCTTAACGATAAGTATTCCTTAAAGTGACATTTTTACATGTAGAAATGTCATTTTAAGTTCTTCGTATCGTTAAGCCTCCTTTAAAATTGTCGGTGCAAACGGCCATTAGTAACCTAAATGTAAACAACACGGTGTCTGACCTGAACTTCCATATTGAATTTCGTTTGACAGGTCATGAAATTGCCTGACATTGGCCTGACAATCAATATGGCAAAAATGAAAACTCGACTGGTTAAGTACAGTCATGAGCACAAAAAGTGAGACACCCGACTGACAGGTCTTGACATTTTTTGCTATTTTGCGTAAATCAGTCTTTTCTTTACAATCCGTGCGTTCGGTATTTTGATCAGAGTTCTCCGAGCTTGAATTTACCGTTCGTTTATTCAAAAAGTGTACTCGGAACAGGCTCATTTGCGTTCGTTTATTAAAATTTTGGGCACTCGGATACTTTGTTCAACTGCTCTGTTCGCTCGCTGGTCATGTGATTACGGCTCCGCTCAGCACGCTCTGCTCCGCTCTGCTCTTTGAGCAAAATACCGAACGCAAGGACAGGCATGTAATATTGACAGTTGAGTTGAAGAGGGCGCTTCTGTACTTGGTGCACTTTAAATTTTGGCGTGTGAATAATCGAATGTAATTTTAACCTCAAAAGTCAAGTTTGATGTGTGATTTGAAGACAAGCTGACGCTGACACTTTTGAAAATATTCTTTGAGGGCCACTGAATGTTTTGGAAGACATTTTAACTTATTCACTGTTTATTGTTCATATGTAGTTAGGGTTTCCATAAAGGTTTTTCGGAATTCAGGACAAAGGAGTCAAGAAATCCGGACAAAATCCGGACTTCGCCGAAATAGTTATTGAGAGTGTGTAAAGTGAAAGGCGAGTGTGACAAAATTCACATTTGTAAAAAAAGGTTCACTCCACACACGTATTGCATAATATACAAACAATTTTCTACTACCAATGAAATATGTGTAAAAAAAAATAACTTTAGACAAATAATTTACGCATACGCACTAATGCGTAAAGTAATTTACTAGAAAAAAATTACAGTGTCGACATCTGTCATTGACCTTTCACGCACTAGTTAGTAGGCAATTTTTCGCGAGGAGAACATTGGAGGATAATCAAGCATAATCTGATTATCCTGGGTTATGTGATGTGTCAACTGTGTCATACTCCCCTAACTCCCTCACCCTTTAATTCTGGGCCTACGAGTGACGTCACTACCAGCAGTTTATAGTGCTGACGTCACCCGCAGACCACGATGGAATGCTTGCGATTCAGGTTGTGCTAGTGAGTTAATTTTTTCGTCGATTTCAAATGTAGAAAGTTTTCGGTCTGTTCTCACAGAAGAAGTTAAGGGCCGGATTTATAGTCGCTGCTTGAGGTTTCCTCAGGCCATAAGAAGGCTTTGAACGTTTAGAATTGAGATGACTAACTTGTCAAATAGTAGCAACCTTCAAAGAAGACCCAAGAAACGACTATAAATTCGGCCCTAAGTGTTCTTGATCCTCGAGTATCCCAAAATTTGATGATGGGTGAGTTAGGGGAGCATGGAACAATTGACATATCACATAATCTAGCATACTCGAGTATGCTTGGTTATCCTCGCGGAAAATTTCCTACGTACTAATGCGTGAAGTAAAATTTACGTCTTTTGGATAGTGCGTAAACTGAGTATGAGTGTTCCTACGATCTCTGAGTTTTCCGGACATTGTTCCGAATTCCGGCCGGACTAAAAACCCAAATATGTCCGGGTAAATCTGGACGTATGGAAACGATTTAAAACTATTGACATTTACCGCCAAAATTTAAAGTACTCCAAGTTCACTCGCGCCCTCTACAAAATTTTTGGGAACTTAACTGGATATTTGCTGCCATTGATTTTTTGTCAAATATGACAATCCGTGTCATTGCCGTAGGGTAGGTATAGTTCGTGAGCCCATTTCACAATAGGAAAAAACAGGTGTCCCACTTTTTGTGCTCACGACTGTACATAATCAGGCTTATGATGTACCTATCATTTGCTGTTATTTTGACAGCAACGTTGAGTTATCTGTCACTATTTATTCTACATGTAAAAATAGAGACAGGTATAGATTTTAAGCTATAACACAACTGTTAAAATAATAGGAGGGGATCCATCATAGGCCTGAAGATATTCTATTCACAATCTGTAGTCCAAAGGTAAATTTATCACCTTTCCCTATCAAATAACATTGAAAAGTGATAAATTTTACTTTTGGACTACAGATTGTGAACAGACAATACTTTCAGGTATGTCTTGGTACTTGTGGTACTGTTTCCTAACAAAAGGGCAAAAATAAAAGCCTATATTTAGGACCACAAATATATTATCTTAAGTAACACTATAACTATTAAACTACTTCAAATAATAACTTAAGGGTACGAATTATCAAACACATAATCCGTATAAAACGCTACATTAGTATCGTTAATCTCCACATCCCTCACAAGACATCTCTTCATGTGAACCTTCTTAGTCTGATTAGTAATAAACCCCTTCTTGCAAAACTTACACTTGTAAGGCCTTTCCCCAGTATGAATCCTCAAATGCACAGTAAAAGGCCCGGGTTGCCTGAAACACTTGCCGCAATACTCGCACGAGTAAGGCCGCTCGCCCGTATGAATCCGCTCGTGTTTTTGCATCGTATCTTTGCCTGTAAAGCCGCGATTGCAAAAGCGGCAAATCCAAGGCTTGAGCCCTTCGTGCATTGCTTTTTGGTGCCGCACCAAACGGTATTTGGAGCTGAAACTTTTGCCGCAATTGTCGCAAAGTAAATTCAATGGCTGAGGGTGTTCAGATTTGATTTTTGGGGTCAACAAACGAGCTCCCATTGAGGGTTCGTTATCGATGCTGGCTTTGTGGTAGTTTTTCTGGTGGCGGATCAATTTGCCTTCGTTGTAGAAGGTTTTGGTGCAAACCACGCAAGCGAAACGGACATACTGGGCGTCGGTTAGTTTAGTATCAACAGCGTGTTCGGTTTGTATGTGAAATGCTAGTTTGGATCTGATGACTGTTTTGAAATGGCACAGAGGGCAAGTCATTGCTTTGCTGGGGTTGTGTTTAGCGCTGTGGTAGCTTAACTCGACAAGGCTTGGAAAATAAGCGTCGCAAATGTTGCACTTGAAGCCTGAATGCTTTTTTTCAATGTGCTCATCGATTTCGGATTTGAATGCGAATTCTTGGTGGCATGTTGTGCAAATGTAAATGTTTTGGAACTTGTCAAAGTAATAGAGTTCGCTTTGTTTGGATTTGAAAATGTTGGGCTTCTTTTTTATCATTAGCTCAGATTCCAGGCAATTGTTTTCGTGAATGTTCAAGCGTTCTTGGGATGAAAATATTTGGGGGCATTTTGGGCATGAGAATATTGACCTGTGAGCAGTAGCTGGTTTTGGTTGTTTTACAACTTTTTTACTCACAAGTCTAATTCCAGGTAGTTTTCCTAATAAATCTTCAAGAGGTTTCTTTTTCTCACTCACAGCCTTAGGAGTCTTGGAATTTTTCTCACTTGTAACGCTTATTCCTACTGGCAATGATTTCATCATATCTGTAAGATTTAGATCAGCCCTGGGCTGAGAAGGCTTTTTCTTTTTGCCAGCCTTGCACCGCTTCATATGAGCTTCCAGTAATGGTAAATTGGAAAAATTGCTGTTGCAATCCGAGCACTGGAACGTTATGACAGAGAGGGCTTTGAGTTTAGCATTTTCGACTTTGGGTAGTTCTGGTTTCGGCATGTTGGGCGTCAGACGTTTGAGTTTTATTGTTGCTGGCAGATTCAGCTTGGGTAATGTTGACTTTTGTGTTGCTTGTGGATTTAGCTTGGACTTTTTTCTAAAAATAAAACGTATGTTAGTTTATAGGGTTTTTATTTTATGTTTTCAAAAGGTCTAAAAGGATATTCAAATGAAAATAAGTGTTTTTAAAGCTTTATAGGTATATTTAAACAACTAATAAATCTGTCTATTATAAGGAACTTAGGACCGGTATTATAAAGTTCGGTTGATTGAAGGTTGAATTTCAATCAGCGGTTGAATAAAATCATACGGAAATGTCAGTTCGACTGCTGGTTAAAGCTCAACCTTCGGTCAACCAGGTTTTATAATACCGACCCTTATACTTATAAATCATTTATATAACAGTTTTATAAAAATTAAAATAATTATAAAAGCAAACAAATAAAAACCAAAAACTTGTTGGCAAAATATAATTTCTTTTCCTTTGTCCATCAGTTGCAATGCAACAACTGATGGTATTTCCATTTTCCTGACAGCACATGTACAAACCCACTAAGACTTTAGACATATTATTAGTGCAATACGAGTAATTATTGAATTATTTTCAGCTCTTGATTGCCTTCAGAGAATTTATCTAACGAATAAAGGTCAATTTTCACTTGTGTTTCACTCAGCTCGGCGACATGACACTCTGAGTTGCTAGATAAATATTTCATTGGTTCAAATACATAAATTCCCACCTATACTGCACTATACTTTACGACGAATCGCATTTAAACCAATGAAATTATCTAACGACAATTTGCATTGCTGCGTCGTGTCGCGTCGCCGAGCTGAGTGAAGCGCAAATGAGAATTGACCTTAAAGAATAGTTCAAATTTTAATTATTACCGGGTTTCGACTCTTGATTGTCTCTAGACAAGTTTTCTGACGAATCATGACTAGAGAATAGTCCAAATTTTGATTAGTAGCAACTCTTGACTGCCTTTGAACACGGGTGTTCCTAAAGAAGGGAGCAAATAATGGAGCACTTGTTCCACTTCCCCACCTGCCGATTATTACTGTCTCATGATGCTACCAGATAACAAACAATCACTAGACGAATAAAAAAGCGGGATGACTATAATTCCTCTTTAAACTTTTGTAGGTACTTACTCCCTTTAATATTATTCTATAAATAATAAACTTACGAAAAGCAATGTATCTCTTGAATCTTGATTCTGGTTTTGGCAACACTGTCGTCGTTAGCGTTCTATGAAATGTACAGGATGTTTCCTTATATTTTGACCCCTACCTACAGCTTTAACTATACGAGGTGGAAACAAACTTTAGAGATGAAAGTTGTAGGACTTTGTCTATTAATCTTTTGCAAATGTCAAAACGGGCAAATGACAGGTGCCCACTGTTACAATGACAAACATTTGCATTTTTCAAATGGAACACCCTGTATATTTTTGGCTTCCAAATATACCATATATGTTGATATTTGGTTCAGTTGTTTCGTCCATTTTGACATTCGCAAGAGATAATAGACATAAAACCCTACAACTTTCATATTTGAAGTTTTTTCCCACCTCGTATAACTAAAGCTAGGTAGGGGTCAAAATATAAGGAAACACACTGTACTCTTATTTCGAAAAAACTTCTTATTTCGAAAAAACTCTACCTCATTTATTTGTAGTTACGTCATCCAGGTGAGAAAAAAAGAGGATAATTCATTGATAATGACAAAAATATAAAGGTTGATTACCTTCTCAGTTCATAAAACGAACAATCAATGCTGAGACACCTGACACCCACTTCTTCTAAAAAAAGTGTTGTCTCCACTGTTTGGAATGTACCAAACAAAGATAAATAAAAATTACGTCATAACAATTAGGTAAAATTTAGACTTAGACTATATGTATACAGGGTGTCCGGAATAACTTGATGTACAGTGAGAATCATTGCAATTGGCACACACTATATAAACATCCCCCGTAATAAGTCAAAAATTTTACTTCTTTGTCACACAGGTAATGTCAAAATTGTGCCAGATTGATGAATCAGTGATGAACATATTCGTTTTTATAGACTGCTAAGGGCCAAATTATGGACCGACTGGTAAGCGTCTGGTTGTTAACAGGTACTTTTTATTCTTTAGTGTACCAGAAAGTACCTGCTAGGTAACAGCCAGACCAGACGTTTTGGCAACACTGCTTATTATACAACAAACGTCAAAAAATTGGCCGGTCCCCTGTTTGGCTACTTCCTACGTATTCGCCGAGGCTAAATCTATAGGTATGTCCATGTGGGTTTTTTTTAATTTTGACAACTATCAATGTCAAAAATTTTTACCTTTTCTTTTTTTCAAAAAACAAATGTCAGAAAACGATCCCCAGGCTCCGAAAACACTAAAATAAAAAGTTTCATCGATATACGTCAAAAACCAACGGCATGGCAACGCCGAACTCCTTTTTTGACATATGTTGAAAAAAAATGTGGTACTTCCTACGTATTCGCCGAGGTTAAATCTATATGCTCATGTGTTTTTTTTTTTAAATTTCGACAGCTGTCAATCTCAAAAAAAAAACGTCGTTTTTTAGTGGGTTTTAGGGTGAGAATTATATAGCAACATGTAGCAACACTTATATGAGAATTTAATGAATTCATTTGTAGCAACAGTTGGTACAAAAAATTCAATTTCTCGTCATGTTTGGAATTCCAATTTTTGAATTTTTCCGGCTCCTGATTGGTTTCGGGATTCGAATTTTGATTATTCTCGGCTCTTGATTGGCTTTAAATTTTGAATATTCCCGGCTCTTAATGGGTTTAAAATAATCCTAATCTCGGCCCTTCGAGCTCGAAATTTGAAAAAAACATATGGCAACACTGCTCATGATACAACAAACGTCAAAAAATTGAAATTTCAAAGTAGACTTTGTTTTTTTTTGACAATTGATACAAAATGAGGTCTTTTTGTTTCAAAGATTACGGCCCGAAGGGCCGGAGTCTTAAAATCAGTTGACGATGAACGGATAAAAATTTTGTCGATATCGACAGATGTCACCTGTCAAATTTGATACATGTTCGACTTTTTCCCCGCTCTACTATAAAAGCTACGAAAATCAAACCCCGGTACAAGGCAGTTTCACGACGCTAACTATCGATTTTTGTTAAAAAAATTTGACAGCTGTCAACGTAAAAAAAAGGTTTTTTTTATTTTGCGAATTTCAAGAAAAAAAAGTGGTGGAAAACGATCCCCGGACCCAAAAAACCCTAAATAAAAATCCCAAAAAAAAACCAACGAAAATGACATCCCAAAACCTACTTGATGAAACTAAAGTTTTTCTCACTTACCCCATTGAAAAACTGAAAATTTTTGGTGGAAACTGAAGAAAACTCAAAGCCTTGTACTTTAAATCAGTTTTCCCGACTGAAAAAGCTCCGGAAAAGTGAAAAATTCGAAGAAAAACTGAATAAAAATGTAAACACGTCAATTGAAAATGGCCGACTGTCAAAAATGCTTCCTTGATTTAAGTTAGCCACAAGCGATGTTGCCACATCAAAAACATTTTAAATGGGATTTTGCTAATTATGGCATTTAAAACTAAAAATTTTTACTAAAAAATGAAGAAAACTCAAAACCTCGTATGTTAAATTGCTTTTTTCCATTAAAAAACCTCGGAAAAATCGAAAATTCGAGAAAAAACTGGCAAAAAATCATAAGACGTCACTTCAAAATGGCCAACTAAAAGCAACGTTGCCACATTTCATTTCGGAAAACAAAAATAACATTTTAAAAGGGTTTTTTGTTTAAAATTCAATTTAATAATTAATTAATGATTATGATAATTAAAATTCCCCAAATAAATCATAGGAACCTTGTTTTTAGTTCAATTTCAATGAAAATGACATTATAAGGTTTACTTATTGATTATAGTGAGTAAGACAAAGACAACGATAAAGTAGTATATGTTTGCAAAAACCACCAGCCTCGTGATTAAAATAACAAGGCTGGTGATTAAAATAACTCTGGCCCTTCGGGCTCGCGTATAACTCCGGCCCTTCGGGCTCGCGTATAACTCCGGCCCTTCGGGCTCGCGTATAACTCCGGCCCTTCGGGCTCGCGTATAACTCCGGCCCTTCGGGCCGGAGTTTCCTTTTGGCTCGTATTACTGAGTATCCCAGATTCACAGATTTTTGTCGTGGGAGGCGCGGGATTGATTGAAATAATGTTGTCAGATTTTTCTAAATTACATTGAAATTGAATCAGGAATAAAAAATTGAGATTGAATTTTCAATTTTTTGAGGGAGGCTTAGTCTCCCCTGCCTCCTCTGACGAGCCGCCACTACAAGGGATGTTGAAAGAGTATTATAGTATGTGCCAATTGTAATGATTCTCGCTGTACATGGGGATTTTGGAAACTGTTGAACATACAGGGTGGATCAAATGAGGAAAAAAATCGCTATGAAGTGCCTACAAATAATCTGTCATCAAGGCATAGAGTATAACGGGTGTGAACTATTCTAGGAGCTTCGCACCCGAAAGCGGCCCTGAGTTCAAAGAAGTTGATGACAAATTAGGTACAATTTATAGGCACTTGATTACGCAAGTTTTTCTCCATTTGGTCCACCCTGTATCTTCAATAGCTCTCAAAATCCGTACTTCAAATTATTCCCGACACCCTGTATGTTCATTCATGAATATATGTATGGTAACTTACATGAATGGCCCCATTTAAAAAATGAAAATAAATCAAGCTTTTGCCCCCCCTCCTTTGGAAAAGTTTCCTAATGAATCAAGAGCCAGGAATAGTCCAAATTTTGACTATTTTTCGGTCAAGATTCGTTAGAAAACTTCTCTTAAGACAGTCAAGAGCTGGTAATAATCAATCTAGTAGTGAATTTGTACAGCTTTGCCTTATATACAAACCAAATACTCAACAATAACAATATATTCCAACTAAAAACTTAACAAAATCCCTATTATTAACCAACTTTAACATTATTGCAACTCTTCATGTGCAAATTCAACGACCCCCTAGAAATATACCCTCCATTACAAAACTGACAAATATAAGGCCTCTCGCCCGTATGGCCTCTAACGTGAATCCTAAGCGAGCAAGCCTGATTGAAGCATTTGCCGCAATGCTCGCAAGGATAAGGCTTCTCGCCGGTATGCACCCGCTCGTGCATTATTAAATAGTCTTTTTTGGTGAAGCATTTCTCGCAAAACTTGCAATGGTAAGGCTTCTCGCCCGTGTGAATGCGATAGTGGATTTTTAGTTTGTCGCTTGAGCCGAAGCCTTTGCCGCAAAAGTCGCACAGGTGGCGCTTTTCGTTACGTTCTTCGCCTTGCTTATGCTTCGAGGTTATATGCTTCAATAGAGTGTCCACTTTTGAGAAGACTTTTAGGCAAATGCTGCATTGGGTTTTGTGCAGGGTGCCTTCAATGTAAACTGTATGATGTCGGACTTGATGGATGTTCATGTATCTACAAAGAAATTCTTAATCCTACTACTATTGCAATCTAAAGGTGCATCCAGACCAATGTAACCAAGCAGCGCGAAATGTTCACATTCTTTTCTTTACTTTTTCTACTTTTCTTTCTTTTACGACATTGCTATTTTTGCCTTTACCTTTAGCTTCATTCACTTTGGTTATCTTACCTTCATGTTTTCAAGGTAAAGTAAGCAGACACTCGTTCTGGGTCCTTATTATTGAAATAGGGGAGCAGTGTTCCGTCTTTGTTACTCAAATTATCATTTACATATCATTGAGAAACACTTGTTCTCCTGGGAAGGCTGCTCCCCTGTTTCAAGAATAAGGACCCTGGAAGGACACCTAACTACTATCTATTCACAATCCGTAGTCCAAAGGTAAAGGTAAATTTATCACCTTTCCCTATCAAAAAGCACTGAAAAGTGATACATTTTATCATTACCTTTGGACATCGGATTTTAAATTCAAAATATAAATATATTTTACCTAGGTATATTATCTTAATTCTCGAGTTGGCTTAGATTATCGTCGGAAAAATGTCTTTCTAACTTTTCCCCCTATCGTAGGAGAGGAAGGGTTGTAACAATTGCTGCAACAATTTTTAGTTTATGTACCGACATATGTCTATGGTACCGACCCCGCATGGAAAATATTTTGCACCGCGCAAAACAGAACGCGCGCGAGCAGGTCTAAGCACACAACCGTCCAAACTGACATGTTCTGCAACGTTCGCGAAAGTTTTGCGCTATTTGTTGCACCGGTCTGAATGCACCTTAAAAATTATTACCTTGAATAGCTAAATGCCTTATCGCAAACGACACAAACAAAAGGCTTAATACCCAAATGCTCATTATTATGCTCCTTGTAAATTACTGAGTCATTGAAGCCTTTATTGCAAACTTCACAAGTATAGTAAAACTTGTGATAGTGCACACGATTGATGTGAGTCTGCAAGCAAGTCCTCCTTTGAGTGGTGTAAGTGCAAAGAGGGCAAACCATTGTGTCGTCTTTTGAGTGGGTTTTCATGTGCACTGCAAATGTGTAGGCCTTTTTTGAGGTGTGACTGCAAACGTCGCAGGCGTAGAACTCTTCATGGATTTTCTGAATGTGGTTCTCTACGTCTTTTTGGGTGGAAAACTCCAAAGAGCAAGTGTTGCAGCGGTACAAATCGTGCTCAGGATCGTGTTTGAATGAATGTTCGTCGCTAGAGTCTGAGCTGTGGTTTTTCGAATGCTCAGTGAGCAGTTTGCGCGAGTCAAATTCTTGCAAACATTTTCTGCACGTCCACAATTTGTGTTCTTGTTTTTTGCACGTTTTCTTCTTGATTTTTTGAGGTTTACTAGGGGAGTAATCTTTGTCCTTTACATTATCGGTAGGTTCCTTTTTTATTTTTTTGGCAGCGTTTTTTTGGGGTTTGAATTCTTGCTCGATTATTTCCATTTCGACTTCTAAATGTTCGCTGTACGGCCAAGAATTAAGGTACCTAAAAATTGTGGGTTTCAGGGGCAAAGTTGTTGAATATGTTGGATATTGGGGGCTTGTATACTTACGATTTTTGACTCAAAATGCACCAGTTTCACCTTTTGTCATTATTTCATTGTTAACAATGTGCTAACAATGACTGACATTCAATTATTCAAAAAACTAGTGGACTACAATCCTTGAAAATTTCAACTGTGTTTTAGTAAGAAGATAGGTACCTTATGATTTAGATTTTGGAAAACTTTGACATGTCATAACTTTTTTTCTATTATAGCTAGAAAGTTGAAATTTTCAGTGATTCTTATTCCACTAGTGGATTATAATCCCTGAAAATTTCAACTCATTTGGACTTATAGTTCCTGGGATAAAATCGCGTTAAGCAATTTGGGGTGATTTATCAATTTTTCTGAGTGCCTTTTTCTATGGATTTCGGCTGCAAATCTGGGAATAACTTAGTGTATGGAGTTTGAGGGGATATCGAGTGACCATTAGGACGCAAAATCTCAACAAAAAAAAATTTGAAATTTTATCGTTTTAGTAAGAAGGTAGGTACCTTATGATTTAGATTTTGGAAAACTTTGACATGTCATAACTTTTTTTCTATTATAGATAGAATGCTGAAATTTTCAGTGATTCTTATTCCACTAGTGGACTACAATCCCTGATAATTTCAACTCATTTGGACTTATAGTTCCTGAGATAAAATCGCGTTAAGCAATTTGGGGTGATTTATCAATTTTTCAATTTTTCTGAGTGCCTTTTTCTATGGATTTCGGCTTTAAATCTGGGAATAACTTAGTGTATGGAGTTGAGGGGATATCGAGTGACCATTAGGACGCAAAATCTCAACAAAAAAAAATTTGAAATTTTATCGTTTTAGTAAGAAGGTAGGTACCTTATGATTTAGATTTTAGAAAACTTTGACATGTCATAACTTTTTTTCTATTATAGATAGAATGCTGAAATTTTCAGCAATTCTTATTCCACTAGAGGACTACAATTCCTGAAAATTTCAACTCATTTGGACTTATAGTTCCTGAGATAAAATCGCGTTAAGCAATTTGGGGTGATTTATCAATTTTTCAATTTTTCTGAGTGCCTTTTTCTATGGATTTCGGCTTTAAATCTGGGAATAACTTAGTGTATGGAGTTGAGGGGATATCGAGTGACCATTAGGACGCAAAACCTCAACAAAAAAAAATTTGAAATTTTATCGTTTTAGTAAGAAGGTAGGTACCTTATGATTTAGATTTTGGAAAACTTTGACATGTCATAACTTTTTTTCTATTATAGATAGAATGCTGAAATTTTCAGTGATTCTTATTCCTCTAGTGGATTATAATCCCTGAAAATTTCAACTCATTTGGACTTATAGTTCCTGAGATAAAATCGTGTTAAGCAATTTGGGGTGATTTATCAATTTTTCAATTTTTCTGAGTGCCTTTTTCCATGGATTTCGGCTTCAAATCTGGGAATAACTTAGTGTATGGAGTTTGAGGGATATCAAATGACTAGTAGAACACAAAATCTCAACAAAAAAAAATTTGAAATTTTATCGTTTTAGTAAGAAGGTAGGTACCTTATGATTTAGATTTTGGAAAACTTTGACATGTCATAACTTTTTTTCTATTATAGATAGAAAGCTGAAATTTTCAGTGATTCTTATTCCTCTAGTGGATTATAATCCCTGAAAATTTCAACTCATTTGGACTTATAGTTCCTGAGATAAAATCGTGTTAAGCAATTTGGGGTGATTTATCAATTTTTCAATTTTTCTGAGTGCCTTTTTCCATGGATTTCGGCTTCAAATCTGGGAATAACTTAGTGTATGGAGTTTGAGGGATATCAAATGACTAGTAGAACACAAAATCTCAACAAAAAAAAATTTGAAATTTTATCGTTTTAGTAAGAAGGTAGGTACCTTATGATTTAGATTTTGGAAAACTTTGACATGTCATAACTTTTTTTCTATTATAGATAGAAAGCTGAAATTTTCAGTGATTCTTATTCCTCTAGTGGATTATAATCCCTGAAAATTTCAACTCATTTGGACTTATAGTTCCTGAGATAAAATCGTGTTAAGCAATTTGGGGTGATTTATCAATTTTTCAATTTTTCTGAGTGCCTTTTTCCATGGATTTCGGCTTCAAATCTGGGAATAACTTAGTGTATGGAGTTTGAGGGATATCAAATGACTAGTAGAACACAAAATCTCAACAAAAAAAAATTTGAAATTTTATCGTTTTAGTAAGAAGGTAGGTACCTTATGATTTAGATTTTGGAAAACTTTGACATGTCATAACTTTTTTTCTATTATAGATAGAAAGCTGAAATTTTCAGTGATTCTTATTCCTCTAGTGGATTATAATCCCTGAAAATTTCAACTCATTTGGACTTATAGTTCCTGAGATAAAATCGTGTTAAGCAATTTGGGGTGATTTATCAATTTTTCAATTTTTCTGAGTGCCTTTTTCCATGGATTTCGGCTTCAAATCTGGGAATAACTTAGTGTATGGAGTTTGAGGGATATCAAATGACTAGTAGAACACAAAATCTCAACAAAAAAAAATTTGAAATTTTATCGTTTTAGTAAGAAGGTAGGTACCTTATGATTTAGATTTTGGAAAACTTTGACATGTCATAACTTTTTTTCTATTATAGATAGAAAGCTGAAATTTTCAGTGATTCTTATTCCTCTAGTGGATTATAATCCCTGAAAATTTCAACTCATTTGGACTTATAGTTCCTGAGATAAAATCGTGTTAAGCAATTTGGGGTGATTTATCAATTTTTCAATTTTTCTGAGTGCCTTTTTCCATGGATTTCGGCTTCAAATCTGGGAATAACTTAGTGTATGGAGTTTGAGGGATATCAAATGACTAGTAGAACACAAAATCTCAACAAAAAAAAATTTGAAATTTTATCGTTTTAGTAAGAAGGTAGGTACCTTATGATTTAGATTTTAGAAAACTTTGACATGTCATAACTTTTTTTCTATTATAGATAGAATGCTGAAATTTTCAGTGATTCTTATTCCTCTAGTGGATTATAATCCCTGAAAATTTCAACTCATTTGGACTTATAGTTCCTGAGATAAAATCGTGTTAAGCAATTTGGGGTGATTTATCAATTTTTCAATTTTTCTGAGTGCCTTTTTCCATGGATTTCGGCTTCAAATCTGGGAATAACTTAGTGTATGGAGTTTGAGGGATATCAAATGACTAGTAGAACACAAAATCTCAACAAAAAAAAATTTGAAATTTTATCGTTTTAGTAAGAAGGTAGGTACCTTATGATTTAGATTTTGGAAAACTTTGACATGTCATAACTTTTTTTCTATTATAGATAGAAAGCTGAAATTTTCAGTGATTCTTATTCCTCTAGTGGATTATAATCCCTGAAAATTTCAACTCATTTGGACTTATAGTTCCTGAGATAAAATCGTGTTAAGCAATTTGGGGTGATTTATCAATTTTTCAATTTTTCTGAGTGCCTTTTTCCATGGATTTCGGCTTCAAATCTGGGAATAACTTAGTGTATGGAGTTTGAGGGATATCAAATGACTAGTAGAACACAAAATCTCAACAAAAAAAAATTTGAAATTTTATCGTTTTAGTAAGAAGGTAGGTACCTTATGATTTAGATTTTGGAAAACTTTGACATGTCATAACTTTTTTTCTATTATAGATAGAATGCTGAAATTTTCAGTGATTCTTATTCCTCTAGTGGATTATAATCCCTGAAAATTTCAACTCATTTGGACTTATAGTTCCTGAGATAAAATCGTGTTAAGCAATTTGGGGTGATTTATCAATTTTTCAATTTTTCTGAGTGCCTTTTTCCATGGATTTCGGCTTCAAATCTGGGAATAACTTAGTGTATGGAGTTTGAGGGATATCAAATGACTAGTAGAACACAAAATCTCAACAAAAAAAAATTTGAAATTTTATCGTTTTAGTAAGAAGGTAGGTACCTTATGATTTAGATTTTAGAAAACTTTGACATGTCATAACTTTTTTTCTATTATAGATAGAATGCTGAAATTTTCAGTGATTCTTATTCCTCTAGTGGATTATAATCCCTGAAAATTTCAACTCATTTGGACTTATAGTTCCTGAGATAAAATCGTGTTAAGCAATTTGGGGTGATTTATCAATTTTTCAATTTTTCTGAGTGCCTTTTTCCATGGATTTCGGCTTCAAATCTGGGAATAACTTAGTGTATGGAGTTTGAGGGATATCAAATGACTAGTAGAACACAAAATCTCAACAAAAAAAAATTTGAAATTTTATCGTTTTAGTAAGAAGGTAGGTACCTTATGATTTAGATTTTGGAAAACTTTGACATGTCATAACTTTTTTTCTATTATAGATAGAAAGCTGAAATTTTCAGTGATTCTTATTCCTCTAGTGGATTATAATCCCTGAAAATTTCAACTCATTTGGACTTATAGTTCCTGAGATAAAATCGTGTTAAGCAATTTGGGGTGATTTATCAATTTTTCAATTTTTCTGAGTGCCTTTTTCCATGGATTTCGGCTTCAAATCTGGGAATAACTTAGTGTATGGAGTTTGAGGGATATCAAATGACTAGTAGAACACAAAATCTCAACAAAAAAAAATTTGAAATTTTATCGTTTTAGTAAGAAGGTAGGTACCTTATGATTTAGATTTTGGAAAACTTTGACATGTCATAACTTTTTTTCTATTATAGATAGAAAGCTGAAATTTTCAGTGATTCTTATTCCTCTAGTGGATTATAATCCCTGAAAATTTCAACTCATTTGGACTTATAGTTCCTGAGATAAAATCGTGTTAAGCAATTTGGGGTGATTTATCAATTTTTCAATTTTTCTGAGTGCCTTTTTCCATGGATTTCGGCTTCAAATCTGGGAATAACTTAGTGTATGGAGTTTGAGGGATATCAAATGACTAGTAGAACACAAAATCTCAACAAAA